ATAATAATATATGTTGCATATTTAGTGAAAAATTATTTGAAAGGATTATTTGTACTGATAAAATGCTAAAAAAAATTGACGGTTACGTGCAACTGTTCGCTTTGGCGACCGTTAAGCGAAGGTAGGACATTTCGTTATTTTAAATTTATAATTGTTCATGCTATCGCTATAAGATGGCAAGCTAGCACATGGTTCACCTGATGCTAAATGATCGCCGCCCATGGACATCTACAACGTTGGGTTGCAGGTGCGTTTCCAAAAACGCGGCCTTTGAAAAAGAATTGGGCCCACTAATCTCACTAGCCAGGAGAAACGCGAAAGTATAATAGTTCTATGACAGATTAAATGAAACTGGTTTACTGATTTTATCGCGTTTTTATTTTGATTTGAATTTCGAACGTTTGGCGTTTCGAACCCTTTCTGTCTGAAGTCTGCCCCGTGACCCTGAACGCTGGAAAGGGTTCCAAACGTCGGGAAGCCCAAATCAAAATAAAAACACGATAAAATCCGTAAACCAGTTTCATTTAATATGTATAATATTCGCGTAAAATCAACAAGTCAGTTCTATATCATGCCGGTCTTCCGCTTGGCCGTTAATATACTTATTTTTAAAATATTTATTAAACCTAGATCATATATATTTCTGTGAGTGGCGTTATTACCACCCCTATAATAACGCCACTGACAATACGCAGTTCTAGTCTTATTTATGTGCGTTATGGCTACTTCCGGTTTCGTCAAGAACCCGTGCCAATTGCCGCAATGACGGATGACAGCTAAACGCTCCTTTCCTCCACGTATGGTTCAAGGCCCAGGCTTGACTCTGTTTCTTAGTTGGGTTATGTTTTCGGCTTATTTCTATACAGGGCATACTTAAATCAACATTTAAGATATTATTTATTTTCATAAAACAGAAATTCTTCGCCAAATTGCTCGTTGTTGGGTCTAAAATACTAAACAAGATATAATACGTTTAAACTACTGGAATCTAAACGATGGGAATTCGTTGACGATTTGAAAACGCCTCAACGCATGACTTGCGACGGGAGACGCCGGCCGCGTGTAGGCCCACGTTGCACTGTGTTCCACGATTTCTGTTCGAGATAACTTACCGGACTAATATTTGTCACATTTTGCATTTTGTGTTATCCGTAGACTTAATTTAGAATCAGCAAGAAAATAATGTAGACATTTTTTATTTATTTATTTAACCTTCATTGCTACACCTTAAGCTAAGGGCTACTACAATGGGCAGACTTAATGCCTAATGGCAGTCAAGTCAACTCTACCAGTCAAGTCTTATCATGGTGAATAGTAGATGGCAGGTGCAAAATGAAGACTAAAAAAAATTAAAGTTAATATATGTGCTCTAAAATATAACACATAATTTTGTAATTATAAATAGGTACATAAATATGTAAATATATAGATACACACAAATATATAGGAATAAATAAAAACATAGACGGATAATAAACACACAAATGGAAAGCGAAATAAAATCAATGACTTAACAATTATTCTCGAATAAATTTTTTAAACATACTTATTTGCTGTTTTGATCTTAATGGGAAGGGCGGTCCAGAGGAATGTAGCTTGAACAGTAAAAGAAGATTTAAATTACTGTTGCGAAATGCGAATTTTAAGTTGGTTGATAGAACGAGATACTCTATCAGGACCAGAGTTACAACCTTTTGAAAATTGGGCTCCGGCCACCTCACCGACCAGACGAAACGCGAAAGTATTATACTTCCACTTTCTTTCTTTCCGCCGGTCTTCTGTAAGGTCGTGGTACTTACCCGGACCAGCCTGCCCATTCATGCAACAGCCGAGGCTGCTGCGTGGCCCTACCACCGTAACCGTCAACGCATCCTGAACCCTCGGGTGTAGCAGATGTCCATGGGCGGCGGTATTCGCTTACATCAGGTGAACCGTCTGCTCGCTTGGCAACTTTTCACATAAAAAAAAAAAAATTGCAATTTATAATCCCGAAATTACATTATGCCAAGCGTTAGTATGGTTTGAGTTTTGATTCATCATCTGTATCTTTTGGAATGGCCGCCATATTGTCACTCGGTAAAAACTCACTCAGAATTATTCATGAGTCGAGTCACCTTTGCAATTAATCATTTAGTATAACATGTAGGAAGCATGACTGTCTGACAAAGGTAAGTTAAATTATAATGTAAAATAATAATAATTAATGTAGTTTTTGTTATACGTAAAATTTATAGTCGACCTTGACATCTTAACGTCTTCGAATGTATTTTTTTTTAAGTAGGTAAAGTGCATGCAAAAAAGTTTTTCCGATACTCAGTGCGACCTAAAGTTTATTTGTTATAAACAAAGGCAGTGTCATTCTTCGAAAATATATCCCGAGTTCATTATAAAAACTTCACTTGTTTTATACAAGCGACACAATCCGGATGTGATGTAGAGTAGGTTCTGGTTCAGCTTGAAGTTACTTTTAACTTGAATAGTAAAGTAAAGTAACAGCCTATAGGTATATGTCCCACTGCTGGGCAAAGGCCTCCTCTGTACAGTGTGACAGAATACACAAATATAGTAATGTAAAAGGTAGCTTATGTGATTAATATAATAGCCATATTACACACAGAAGAAAAATTTACGCTAGGTAAGTAAATGATAACATGTTATAGTCGTCATAACGTTTGTTTTCACTTCTCTAATGCAAATTAATGAATTTTTATTTTCGTGAAAAATTTTCCGCTATTTATTATGATATTTACAAAAAAGACTTCCGTTTCTTACAAAAATAATTCACTTCACAATAAATAAAATATAATAATAACATAAGTAACAAATAAGAAATAAAAGAAATAATTTAATTAGTGTACCTAATGAGCGAGAGCCGTGATAGCTCAGTGCCCGGGCGCTCGCCTTTAATTCAATATACTCGAGCAACCTGAGTTCGATCCCCGGTGCCGGCACCAATGAAGTTTTTAACTTAAAGTGCTGACTTATCACCTGCTCCGTGGTGAAGGAAAACATCGTTTGGAAACCTGCATATTTTCGAAATAATAACAAAAAAATAATTCGAAGATATGTGAAGTCCGCCAATCCGCAGTGGGGCCGCGTGGTGTACTATGCCTTGATACCCTCTGTATAGAGGAGGCCTTTGCCCAGCAGTGGGACATGTATAGGCTGTTATTTTTACCTAATGAGTGGCGCAGATGCAAAATCATTGATTATTGCCGTGGGTTCGATTACCAAACGCGACAAGTATTTATGTGACCCACAGTTATTTGTTTCAGATTTGGGTGATACCTCCTGAATAGTGCTGATGACAAATAGCTGCCCGGTTATAAAAAAAAAACTTATACATGACCAATACGCAGCCTTATATAGAATTCGTTGTACCAACCCCGCCTAGATGGGATAGGTGCAGGGGGTAAGCGATGATAATGATGACTACCTAATGGGCGAAATTATGAAAGATTTTTTTTTATGGACAAAAGAGGCAAACGAGCAGGGGGCACCCATAGTGTATATACATACTATAGTAAGTGATTACCGCCGCCTATGAACATCTGCCACAACCGAGGGTATATAAATGCGTTGCCGGCCTTTTAGGAAAGGCGGCTTTTAGGCGTTTTTCTTATTCATAATTGATCAAAGACCAAATGATTAATTCCCTTCGTCGTTTTGATAATATAGAAAACTTTGTTAGATAATTAAGTATTGGCCAATAAAAATAAAGTAAAATAAACATTCAGAACGTGTACGTACGATTTTCCTGAAACATTCGATTTGCGCAGCACGCTTCCGGTCTCGTTAAAGAACATGCAACGCAGAACGGACAAAGAATGTGACAGTTATCGCAAGTTCTATCGTTTTTTTGTTTTAAACCCGTTTATTCTTTGCTTGTTTTCTCTTGTATGTGCCTAGGGGTGTATTTCTTAAGCTTTTTCGTTAAATAAATGATGCTATCTTTGACGTTCGATCTTGAATCTTTGGCGTCATTGGATGACACATTAGTTTTAAGTGGTGATACTCAAAACGAGCATCATGTACCTACAAATTTATCGGTCAATGTGCGTGCATAAGTGTTGAGCAAGAACATTACAACATTCTAGTAGACTGAATTCAGATTTAGACTTATGGTGGTTCAAATAAAATAGCTGACTCATGTCCATACTGCGCGGCGTTTAAAAATTGTTCCACTTTACATCATTTGGCATATGAAAGTGAATGTGACGGATGATACAGAACGTATGATACGGAAAGAGATAGTAGTCGATAGAATTGCGATTTAATTACACCAATTGGTGTAATTTAAGCGCCTATATTTGTATATAATATCATTCACAGTAATAATATATAACAAATTTACTAGATAACAGGTATCCTGTGATGTGTACAGACTGTACCTGTCACGAACAAACTTAAATAACTGTTCCTGTTCCATAACGCGCTGTCACAAGCTTTTCTGTATTCATGCGTACGACTATTACCTTAGTTAGAAAGAGATAACTGTTACATCCTGTCTCTATGGTAACAGTGACACAAATTGTCACATGTATGAAATAACACGCCGTTATTTTGTAACAGGTATTTGTCACTGTTACTATTAAGTCACAGGAACAGGCGTTACACGTACTCGATTTTACCTAATATAACTCACTCCTAGCGACCAAACGAATGCAATGTTCAAGATGTCTGCCGATCACCGTATATTTCGTGATATAGATAAGACACAAGTGGCTGTATTGCATCGGTAAACAGCATAAACGTAAACATGTATACCCCGCACGGTGTAGGTGCGAACCGTACCAGTCATTGTCCATCTATCGAGTTTACTCTTTGACCTGCGCGTGCGCATTATAAAACACTTTAAAGGTTGCAACACATAGTCCATTCGTACCGACAGACGGCCAGTGTACATTACAACGCAGACGCGCGAGTCGTTACAACGTTAGCGCGCGAAAAGAAACTATCGGACCGTAAAAAATATAAATTTTGCTTTTTTAATCTGCAAAATGCTGTTCTACGTCACCGCGGTCGTGCTACTGGCCAGTGCTCAAGCCAAATTTTACACGGATTGTGGTATTTATTAATTAATTGTTATATACCTTTTTTTACGTGAGTCATGGCATTGCGTCGTTCGGTGTCATTGGTGACTCTTGTTTTTGTTTTGCGAAACGATGTTTGTCGTTGTACATCATCAAAAGATAATGTTACAAAGTTCTTGTCCATTTTCGATATTTCTGTAAAATTAAATGTATTATTAGTTATGAGTAAGCACTTACCTAGTCTATTAAAAATAAGAATCAGGTTTTCAATTAGTTTTCTTTAATTGAGGCAATCCCTTATTTATCAGCTTTTAATATGGTCGGAAAATCATTATTTTCTCAATTATTTTTATATAGGCCTTATTGCATTGGTTTCAGTAGTACATGTACTTTATAAATGTTCATTTTGCATCATCTTTAAGGAATGAATGAAGAATGCTAGCAAGCTAACCGAAAAACCCGGATTTTTTTTTAATTAGCGATCTTTATTTTCACTTGAAGTTTTTCCTTACATAAATTTTAAATCATTCAAGCGTAGGTATGTCAATATTAATGGATGCAATGAAATATTAAATTGAATCATTACAGATACACACTGACGAGACTAGTGACTTTATAAACCTTCTATCTTAATGATATTATATACAAATACGAGGTAGATAGTATGATACCAGCGCACCGAAACTGAGCCACTCAAATTTCGCCATTTGGTGTAATTAGATCGCAATTCTATAGACTTCTATCATTTTCCGTATCATACCTTCTCTATCATCTGTTACATACACTTACGCCCGGTTTCTGAAACATTGATCATCGTAGATGTAAACTGATCAGCTGTCAAATGGCTTTTCAAATTTCATTTTAGTTGCCAAAAGGATGGTTTAACTCTCTGAATAGATCAAAATGATTATCTTATGATCAAAGTTGACATCGGTGATGATCAGTGTTTCAGAAACCGGCGTTAATGTCATATAATTTAAAGCGGAACAATTATAAAACGCCGCGCAATAGCTATGTGGTATGACATTCAAAGTTATAAATTTAGATAACTAACTTAATTTAAGTTGAAATATATATTTTAATGGTATATATATCATATACCATTAAAATGAATTACGGCATTATCATATTTTTATCGCAAGTAGAACAAAATATCTTTAATTATGAGTAAACTTAATTTGAATTTACTAATGTTGATAAATTTGCAGATAATAGAATAATTGGGTATAATTGGTATATTCTTCGTCCGTCACTCCATTAAAAGCATCGTTATAATTATGGCTATGCTAAAAATACAATGTTATAAATAAATATTTTAGGACACATTTTTACACTACGTTCTCTAGTCACAAACTAAGCAACGCTTGTACTATGGGTACTAGATAACTAATAAACATACTTAAACATTCTTTTCCTTTGTAAATAAATACATATTATGCATATATAAACAGTTGAACGCCCGCCCACACACTGATAAACACTATGTTCATCACACAATATTTTTCCAGTGGTGGGGATCGAACCCACACCCTCTGACGTACGAGGCAGGTACCCACTACGCCAATAGGGTCATCATTATCTACATTATGTACAATATTATCTACATTCTTAAGTATTATTATAAATGTCAAGACTTCATGCTTTCGTTTCAGTAGTAACTTGAATTGCAGTTTGTTTATACGTCCACAAAAGAGTAATTTTTAATTAATGTTTTGTCTTTTGCGCGCGAAACCAGAAGACGCAGGTTTGAATGCCGCAGCGCGGAAATATTTGTTTATTTATCTTGTTACTTTAAAATATTATCTTTAGTTAGTACGTAACTCCTACAATAAATCTACCACAACATATGTTCATGCCTTAAAAACTGTTTGACATATGTTTAAAAGTAATAAATAAATCGCGATAGACATTAAACTGGGTTGTAAAATTATTAAAACTTCCGTGAGAAATTATTAATGTAATATTAAGACGGCTGAACTCACGTAAACCCGTAAATCGGACTCATCGAACTGACTGAGTACGAGACGGAGCGCGACCGCGAACTAGTCTTTTTTTTTTCTTTTTTGGGCTGGATGAGCCACTGTTGGCCTTAGGGGCCTTTACAGTTCCGACGGGCTTGAGGTGGCCTGGCGCACGAGACGCCTAGCCTGAACCTCGGCGTATTATTATTACGCGTTATGGGACTAAGCTCGAGGGCTCCCGGAGGAGCCTCGGCTCGGGCCGTCACGCTATTACTTTCACCGGTTTGGGAGGCCGCCAAGCTCTTAGGGCGCTATAGCGGGCGCTCCATGGAGTGATCAGGCTCAAGGGTCCCTGAGAGGGGACCTCGGCTTGGGCTGTCACTCAACACGCGTTAAGCATTCCGATTCGAAGGTGCCCGAGAGGGCCGGACCTCGGCTCGATCGGTAGCTATTATCTGACTGGGTCGAACTAGTCGCACTCACCCTGATGAAGGACCCCGATGAGTCCGAAACTAGTCGGTACATACACCGGGTTTACGTGAGTTCAGCCGTCTTAATATTACATAAACTAGGTTGTATACACTGTGAGTTACATTATGGTGTTTGCAAAGAGCATTGCTATAGAATAAATTCACAAAAAGTTACAGCTCTTTTTGTGAATTATACATAACTTTCGGCCTTGTCACCTTGATTAATAAAAAGAAATGCAAAGTTATAGAAAATGCCACTGCAACGCTTATTTGCCATCTTGCTCATATTACAAAGCATGAAAAATTTTCGCTTATTCGGTGTAAATTTTTATGCTGAACTGCTTTTTTAAAAAATTGAAAAGAAGGTTTTCATCAGTAATATCTTTTAAAAGAATTTCGTCTTCACCTTTAATGTAAGTGACGATGCTTTGATCAAATATGAAGAGAAAAGATTAATCTGCTGCGGTTATCCTCCGATATTGACAACAATGATATTATATACAAAGATAACACTAGCGCATCGAAATTGAGGCGCTCAAGTAACACCAATTGGTGTAATTCTATAGACTGCTATCTCTATCCGTATCATACGTTCGATATCATCTGTCACATATACAGGGTGGTTATTCTAAAGGTGCCCCAATTTACAGGTTCAGATACGGTAGTATAATCGTTTATTGAAATAAAAACAATCGTCTTTTTTAAAAAAAATTGCCCCTCCATTCCTTAAAAAACAGAACTCGTTGACAATGCGGTAGTCGTTCATAAATGCGTCTTAATAATACATTTGAAACGAACCTGTGTGCGTGTTAGTTATGAATGATCGCACGTAAAATAAATGAGTTGCCAATAAATCACGCACTTTTTGAGATAAGTTCAAATGAATGTATTTAATTAATTATGAGTGATTTTAAATATTTATCATTTTACATAACATTATTTATGTCTAGAAATTAATAAAAAGAAAGGATACACTTAGAAAAGCCTCCCTGTATACATGTCATATAACGTAAAGCGCATTAATTTTTAAACTCCGCACAGTATGGACATGCGTCAACTATATTATTAAACATCATTGATTGACAACATAAATATACACACACAAATAAATAGCTTTATAGTATTGCCGACGTCTGTGCATGATAGTCACCTTCTTTTATAAAGTAATTTGACAGAAAAACATTTTCTCAATGCAAGAAAACAATAAGAGGAAGAAACACAAGACCACCGCAAACAATTTTAAGAAAGCTGAGAAAAATACATTCATTCAGACTTAGTAACAGAATAATAGAACTTGAAATATAAATACTTGTCAAGAACAATTACGTGGTACATACACCAACCAGTATGTTTACAAAGTGTTTATCATCTCTCTTATCATCTCTCTTGTATGTTTATCATCTCTCTCATCTGTGGGAGCGCTTCTTTACTTTCCAAGTACTTGGCGCCTGATTACAGATCCCAACTAATTTTAACTCTACTGTTGGTTCACCACGTTCCTTTTGTCACTACAAGGTTTGTTAGACGGTAAAGTCGCAAACGTTCTGTTTATGGATTTATTCGTCTCTTTGAACAAAAAGCCCTTGATCAGCATTTCTATAATGTAAACGTTGTTCCTTAATAATAATAAATAAAACTATCGTTTCGGTCTCGGTTGTCAGCGAAAATGTATGATATGTTATTATTTATATACATTATACGCCAAAATGGAATGTATATTTCAATTACATTATCAAGGTTATCGTTATTCAACGCTCATGATAATTATGTAAAAATCTCTGTTCTATAGTTTAAATAACAAATATTTTTACTTTTCATTACTTTCTGTTTTTTTAATATCTCAAGAAACGCTATTATCTTTTAGTTTTATTATTTTCCGTGTTTTTTTTAGATTTTAAAGTCTTTATGATTTAATGTTATCTATGAATATGATTGGGGCTTTACAATGAATTTTAACTACCCTATAATTATATGAAAAAGTACAGTAACAACGAACGCACTAATTACTGTTTTCAAAACATAAATCTCGTACGTGAATAAATCCGTTTGTAATTAACAGCATATAAAATTACGGACTCTGTGTTATAAGGCAATACAAATTATAATTTGCAATTTACAGCTTGTAAAAAGCACGGGCAAAAAATTGGCTGTTGCGCATAAAACATTTAATGGATAGAGGAGTCTCATAAAATAAACAGTTAACCTGTAAACTTTGTAAATTATAAAAAATATGTCAGAGGCAATTTCAAAAGATTGAGTAGGTATTCAAAACAAATTTCAAGCAATATTTACAGTTTAGATGAATTCAATAGGAATTAATTAGAATTTTAGGATTCGTAAAATATACTAAATCATTCCATTTCTAATACGTTATGGGGTAAACTTAAATTTATTTTGATTCCAAGGATTTCCTTATCCACCTTTTGACTTTCTTAATAAGTTTGTTAATAAAACTTTTATTATACATCGTATTACATTTATTGCTACATTTTATTAAAGGGATAAAAACCGGCCAAGTGCGAGTCGGACTCGCGCACGAAGGATTCCGTACCGTTACCTATAAAAAAGCCAAAAAATCATGTCTGTTGTATGGGAGTCCCACTTAAAGATTATTTTATTCTGTTTTTTAGTATTTGTTGTTATAGCGGCAACAGGAATACATCATCTGTCAAAATTTTATCTAGCTATCACAGTTCATGAGATACAGTCTGATGACATACGGACAGACAGCGGAGTCTTAGTAATAGAAACACGTTCATTGCCTTGGGGTGCTTCTTTCCGGCATTTCAATTAGTTATTTATGTATAAAAAGTTAAAGTGAGAGCCGAGACTCCGGACTTTATCAGGATAAAATATCTCACCGTCTTTTGCAAGTGACTAACACCCAGTTTCCGAAAGCGCAATCAATTTTAATTTACGATAAATCTCTTGTCAATCGTTGTTTAACATGATCTGAGTTGCTAGAACGTCTGAAAACAACATTGATTTTGATTTGCAATTAGTCACTGATTAACGGACTATCAACAGAAAATCGAGTTTCTGAAAGCGTTTTTCGGTGGTCAACGAGCTGTCAAAAGTTTTATTAAGTAATCTGTCAATTTGGACGATCAATTGTTGGTTAAAAATGTATTTTATCAAAAATCTTAGTTTTTATTAAAAATAAACATAATTCCCTAATACGTTGTAAGGACATTCATGTGTTCTATTACCTATTTATTATTTAGTATTATGCGAACATATCATGCGATTAGAAAAAATACAAAATGCAATTCAAAAGTTAATAAATAATATGGATTCTTTCTTTTTATAATACTTACTTGTTTATTATGAATAAAAGTTAATTTTTTTCACTTTCTGTAAAGTTTTTTCTTGACATTTTGCATGTATTTATACAAATTAAATTTCATTACAGCTCGGATTTTTACGTTGGCAATCACACGGTGACAGGACTGGATAGTGATGTTAATTTAAGTTTTGTTTAAAAAGGGACAGCTATACAATAGAAAGACTTAGTTGAAGTAAATCCTTCATTTCATTCATTATCATTGGTTATACGGTGATTACCTAATTTTTCATGAACAAACCTTCCAGAAACCCAAGGCAATTTAACAAGAGATTAACAGCTGATCATTTTTGACATAGTGTTATGTGATTGTAGCTTTGATTGGCCTTTCAGAAACTGGGCATAAGTGTTTCACTCGATAATCATTTGTTACCGGCACTCAAGGACATTCGTAACAAGGTAGGCGTAGCAGATTTGTCCTAACCATTATCAGTCTCCAGTTAATGTAAGAAATACAAAAATAAATACAAATCCTTTTTACGCCAGTCTTCTTTCTTTCGGGCCGACTGTAGAGTCTTTATCTCTCTGGAATAACTCAAGATATATATAGTCGTTTACATCATCCACAGAATTGAAAAAAGTTTTTAATTTTTAGTTAATCTTCTTTCTTAGCTAAAGTTCTAAATATCACACAAAAACAAATTAGTCGAGTGGCTCTAATTTTGGACGACTTTTTGTCTATTTTTAACAAGAAATACTGAAACCAAATTAGGTTACGACAAAAAATAACGTTTTGCTTATATTTCCTTTTACGGTTAATATATAAAGAAACTGACGGCTGACGTATTTTTCCGGTTCTCTGTACTTATAAATAGAAGAGACGACATTAAATTTTTGACACACAAATGAATGGAAATTTATAAACATGGAATAAATACGTATGAGAAAAACTCTTATGCCAATGACCATATTAATACTAATTTATCGTTAGCCGTGGTAGCATAGCGTCCGGACGTTTGCCGTTTATAATTTTATCTATTTAAATAACAGTTAATATACCACATATTCGGGGAAGACAGAAAACTGTAAGGAAGTTCAATGATATTATATAGGTACAAATACGAGGTCCAAAGAGAGGCACTCAAATTACGCCAATTAGTGTAATTAGATTGCAATTCTATATACAGCTATCTCTTTCCGTTTCATCTGTCACATTCACTTATTCAATCACTATCACTACGTGCTTCATATTTATTAAGTCTGCGTTTTTTACAACTTTTACAAACATTTCAAGATGTGGTGACGTGGCTGACAATTCTATAGATTTTTTTTTGGTTTCAGGTTCAAAGTTGGCTACCATCGAAAAGGTGGGAGTAAGCGGTTGCGCGGAGACAGCCAAGGAATGTATACTGAAGAGAAATAGCAACGCTACAATCAGCATTGATTTTACACCCTGTACGTGCTTAATAATCAAAAAATAGATACAACATTAATTATTACTAAGCGTACACATCCTTTCTTAACTCTATAAAGGCGAAACTTTGTATTTGTGGATGGATGTTTGTTACTCTTTCACGCAAATACTACTGAATGAATTTAATGAAACTTTACAATAAAATAGCTTATACATCAGATTAATACATAGGATATAATTTATGTGCATATTCTTATGAATATATGTCTTTCTGTCTGAATGTTACGCCTTCAGCCTCTTCTACGCAGACGTAGTCGCGGGCAGCTGCTAGTTAAAAATAACTTTGATCTTTTTACGAGCAAAAGTAATTCGGTGTCCTTGATGTCTGTCCATTTTTTCAAATTGTCACTTCATGTTATTCTTCTTCTTCCACTTCCCTGTCTTCCTTCTATTTATATCTTAGATATTTGATATCAAATTTAGAAGCGTGAGCATAGTTTTTAATTTTTTAATCATTATATATATTTGCGAATAACACTTTTACAACTTAAATAACACTTAACAATTAAATATGAAAATATAGATGGCAGTCGTAACCGTCTATTCTATAGTATATTTATGGTACTCTTAACCGTTTCTTCACTAGCGTGATTTTTCTTTTAATCGTTTTCTTTAAATTAAGTCTAGCTTATTTGAGCCTATTGAGTTTTAGATTAGGTATTGTTAATGGTGTACTGGCAATGATAGATATGACACTAGCGCACCGTAACTGTGGCACTCAAATTACGCCAATTGGTGTAATTAGATTGCAATTCTATATACAGCTATCTCTTTCCGTTTCATCTGTCACATTCACTATCACTAAGTCAGTTATAATGTAAAACGGAACATTTTTTTAACGCCGCGCAGTACGGACATTAGTCATCTACATTAAACATATGTACAGATATAAAACATTGTGTGCAAATATAAAAAATTGTGTAAAGATATATCCTAGTCTTGAACTGCGACGTGTCCCTCTGTCGAGAATGATAGGCCAATTCGTGCTAGACTTTACTGTGGTAGCCATGCAACTGCATATTGCAGTTGGATGAATGGGCAGGCTCGTCCGGGAAGTACTGTGGCCTCGCAGAACGGCGTGAAGTGAAAGTACTTTCGCGTCTTCTGGTGAGTGAGTTCATCGGGGGCCTGCTCTTTAATGATTGGCAGCGGATCTGCAATCCCTGCTGTTTTAGATGTCAATGGAATACGGAAATCACTTAACATCAGGTGAACCTACTTTTAAGAAAACATCAGACACTAGAAAGAAAAACTTTAGTTAACATTCTCTTCAGATGATTATATAAGTTGCGTGGTGCCTCTGGCTGCAGCATATATTTGACTGGAATTCTCATTCTTTGCAGCGCTGGACGTGAAAAGTCTGGAGACTGAAGTGCACGGGGTGATCATGAACCTGCCAGTGCCCTTCCCGCTTCCGCAGCCCGACGCCTGCAAGAATAATGGACTCACCTGCCCACTGAAGGTACGGTTTGTGGAGCCTATTTCTACTAAAAACAACGGGACTACTCATGCGGGGTGATCATCGGGTGAACGTTTTGCACGTTCCTCACCTCTTACCTTTAAACTAATTACTTTGTCGTTTTTATTTTCTGTAGTTATATGACTTCAATAATTTTGCCACTTTGTTGGTAATCCCTCAACAGTGAGGGATTATCTACAAATTTATCCAGTTCGTAGATGTAGATTCAGATATAGAATTATATATGTGTTATGGATTTCCTTCATATAAAACCTTTCTTGTTTCAGGCCGGACAGAAAGCAAGCTACGCTGCCACGCTACCGGTTCTGAAATCCTATCCCAGGGTTAAAGTCGATGTTAAGTGGGAGCTAAAGAATGATGACGGTGACCTCGTTTGCATCTTGATCCCCGCTAAGATCAACTAAATTGAAACTCAAAATAGGCTAAGTTAAACTCGTAACTGTAGTGTTATAAGCGAAGGGAGTGAATGATTATGTACCGATTTTTTATTACATCCGGCCATCACTAGTTTTTGCTCTGAGATTAGACAAAGGTATTATTGCCATGTAGCTATGCTACGTTCGTCATCACAGAAATTAATTTAATTTGTGCATATCCACAATTTGACGTTAACATAACATAACACAAAAAAAAAAACAAGTTTAAGTTTCCATTAAAATTAATTAACAAAAAAATTTTTTTGCCCTGATAAATGAATTGAAGTTCTGTTATTTTATTTGTAAAGCAATCGCACTAATTTTTTTGACCAAGTTCAGTTAACAGAAAAACGATATTAGTCGAACAACAAAAACATGTCCCAGTCTTGTTTAAGGTTTTTGTTACTAATGCACAATTAAAATGTACGTTTTACTTATTGTTAGTCTGTTAATACACGTCTTGCCTCACAAGATAATTGTACTATATGTTGTTGTATTCAACCAAAGTTTATTTATAAATAATTTTACTTTGAACTTTCCTTAAATACAATGCAAAAATTAAACAATTAAACAAACATTTTTGTTCTTTTTTATGTGATAAAGCGGCAATGGAGCTGGCGGTTCACCTGGTGTTAAGTGATAACCGCCGCCCATGGACTTTTGCAACACCCTGAGGGTTGCAAATGCGTTGCAACCTTGAAATAAAGTGGGCCCCGACTACCTCACTCGCCAGACGAAACGCAGAAGTGTAACACTTCTACTTTACGCCGGTCTTCTGTGGGGTCCTCGTACTTACCCGGACGGACCTGCCCATTCATACAACAGTGAACACATTTCCATCCAGGAAATGTGTTCACGTCCAAGAACTTTTGGAATTTCAACAGCCAATGATAAAACTATTTACAGTTCATTATTAATTAACAAGTTTTCACATATGCCACAACGTGGAAATACGACTATAATCAGTATTTAAATCTTTATGAAAATATGATAGGTATTAATTTTCATTTTTCTAACATTCTTTTTCTACTTTTATGTACCTTCACCGTTCAGTACCAATAATTATTAGCTATGAAAAAAATTACTGCTTCATTTTTTTATTAATAACACTAAAGGTCGACAACAGCTAGTAAATGAAAAAAGAAGAATATTGGACCTATTTTTATAGAGATAATAAGTGGCATAGGTTATGTTTATACAATTAATCAGACGCAAAAACAAGCAGAGTGTCAGTTCAGATAAAGACAAAGATGATAAGGAAATAAAAATAAAACTAAACACAATGGCGTAAATGTTTATTGGACACACAAACTGCGAAGGTGATAGAAGTTTACTTTTAAAAGTTTTTAAAGAAGTAAACTTTAATAATTTGATTTCCAAACAATTAAATTGTAAACCAAGTTAAGTTTTGTAGGAACAAAGGAAAAAAACGAAACAATATTGTCATAGGATCTCGTCATTTATATCATCAAAGCTGCTTGAGAACACTTTTGCCGCGAATGCAGTCTAGGGTCGTCCTGTCGTAACTAATGCTACCTCACAGCAACGATGCTATGACATCGCGGCGATAGGACTGGCTCGAACAGCCTGACCAGGAAGGCCCTCTCGAAGCCGTTCTCCATCAGGTACAGTAGCCGGTCCAGCAGCACCACACCCTCGACCACCTGGGCCAGGCAGAGCCTCAGCAAATAGAACAGCACCACCCTCCTCCAGTGGAGCTCCGCATCTTTAGACACCTCCGCTAGAAAACCGTCAGGGAGAACATCGCATAGACCTACGCCCAGGGCACGGTCCGCCGCCACGAAGTAATCCCCGAACCGTTCCAGTTTCATCTTCTTCAACTTACCAACGCCCATGATATATCCGGGCTTGTGCCGTTTGACGATTAACTGCGGGAGTAAGCATAGGTTAGGTATTTTCATTATACAGGGTGATTTTATAGACGACGGACAAATTAATAAAGCATACGCATAATTTGATTCTAAATCTGAAATCTGTTACGTACTTGTGACTTAATTTTTTTTTCAAAGATTATTTTTAATTTTTTCAAACCTCATGGACACCTTAAGAAATTCCTGCCTTACCGTCTCAATATCTATTGACGAGCACTAAAACTTTCCGCTGAACGCATAATTACTAAACCGCTTATCAATAGGTTGACCACTCTTACCAGGATAAACAAAAAATGTTTGAATTGATATTTTTCTGGTTATTACATGACAAAATAAAATGTTAATATTTTTTTTTAATTATGGACTGCTCAATTAAAATTATGTCAAAGTATGTACTTCGTGTAAAAAATCAACCTGTATACGCCGTTCGCCACAACGTAGGGTAGTAATAAATCGAGTGAGATGTAGTCTTACAAGCTTCGCGTAAAGAAGCTACTTGAACCGTCTTACAAGACGGTGGAATATTATACTACTTCTTTCTCCTGCCTTTATCCCGCCCTTACGATGTGGGTAGAGCAGGGAATAAGTACTCAGATCCGTACACTTGTCCCATATGGGAATATAACTCAAAAATCCGGCGCCGAGGTCTATTTATCAGCAATTGAATCGGAGTGATATTATACAAGTAAGCGGGAAACTTCTAAAAAGAACCAAACAAATAAACTACAGGTGGCGTGAGAGTCGGCCAGTAATTGTTCATTCGCGCATCGCTTATCCGGTTGTGATTTAATTTTTTGTATTGATGCTACTGCACCTATTGAAGTTTTCAGTGTTGAACACGTGCTGGGCATGAGCTAGATTAAATTTACTCCTGGAACGCACCTGAAACAAGGCCCTGTATAGCAAACTCTTCGACGGGAACTGCCTGTGATGGACCACCCTGTCTATCGACTGCGCGGCGAGCATCCTCGCGTTGCGCCCGAGATTGTAACCTGAAGACATTTCGCAGGGACATTGAAGACATAGCAACTTATTGGAATACGGTCAATAAATTGGCTGACTCCGCGGCGCAGATGCCAAGGTATCGGCTTCGGCGACGGGGGCCGTGGGTTCGATTCCCACGCGGGGAACAACTTTTTGTGCGACCCACAGATAGTTGTTTCGCATCTGGATGTTTGTCCTCGTGCAATTTATGTTTGTAAAACGTCCTTACAAGACGGGATAATGTTATCCTATAGTGAGGGCAATGTTTTTATAAGAACAAAAAAAAAATATGGCCGACGAATGCAACGAGCGGGGTTTTCTGATGACAGGGTGGCGGATAATAAAATTGAATCACTTTGCTGACGCTCTACGGTAGGTCCCTGTGGTGCACGTTAAGCCCAACAATCCACGGTCGCCTACAGCCACGTAACGACTTTCATCAGGACCTCCCATACGAAAGTTTTCGTACGGCCGTCATGAAGTATATACAGGTATTGTAATCTTGCATTAGCTCTGTTGAGTGAGGTAGCCGGTTAGCGTTTAAATGGTCCTTTAAATACTTGCAACCCCACAGGGGTTGTAGATGTCCACGTGCGGCGGTAGCGACTTAACATCAATTTATGTGAGCCGCCAAAATTACGCAATATCAAAAGCTGCTCAGTGGCAAATCCCCAATAAAATCCTTCCTTATCTATTAAAGTGATGAAGATGCTTCTCTGCATGTGAGTTGTGATAAATGATACATATGAGCAAAGAAATTGAGACTTTAATAACAGCGGATAAATGTCAAAACCGCTAAGCAGATCCCACTGACCTCTCAAGTATTCGGACATCGGGAATCCGTGCTCGGGACGCGCAACGCTGCCGTAGTCCCTTTGGAACACGTCGAACAGACCAGCGTCGACCTCCTCGGTGAGAAGGTGGTAGCAGCAAGGCACGTTGAACAAAGCACCCGTGGACGGCTGAGCGGCGAAGATCCTGAGGGAGTCCGGACCGAGGTTGCCGCATGTGTGGAGACCTGAGAAGCAAATTCCGTTTATCATCATCATCATCATCATATCAGCCGTAGGACGTCCACTGCTGAACATAGGCCTCCCTCATTGACTTCCATTCCGTTTATGATCTCTTATAATGAAATTGGACACTGTTGGTGTGATTGGATAAGTAGAAGTTACCTTTATACACAATTGTGACGGTGTGTAGTGGAGCTATAATAAATTAATCGGCGGATAGGAGGGTAGTAGCGGTGAGGTGCAAATATTGTGGAGAGGAGGTGTATAAAATGGAGCTGGCTCATTCCTAATTCGAGTTTCGTGAATTTAGCTTAAAGTTTAATAATTATGAAGTTATTAACAGTTTCAATTAATGAACGATTATTTTAAACAGTGTTTCTTTTACTCTTCATAATACAATATTAGAAGGATGAATCTATATAAAATGGTAGAAATATTGGGTGATATGTTGTTGTCATAAAAGCAATGCTGGTTCTGTCGATCCAATTCGGTTAGTGAATGTACGCAAAAGTGACATAGCAACTGCAATAACATAACATAAAAATAAATGAATAACGTATAAAATTTTAACTATAATTTATACAAAAAATAAATATCAAATATTGTAAAAAATGACAGGAAACTTATAATTTTAAGACTTTAAGGTAAACGGAGAATATGCCAAGATAAAGCACAAATATGACATTTCTGCAAGTTGTTTGTTAACTTTTTTTTATGTGAGAAAGTGGCAAACGAGCTGTGGCTGTTCACCTGATGTTAATTGATAACCTCCGCCCATGGATATATGCAACACCCGGAGGGTTGTAAATACGTTACCACCTTTAAATAAACTTACCAGTCAATAGTATTTTCATATCTTCACCGAAGTGTTCGGGAAACGCATCTTTGACCACCTTCGAGACATCCGTATCTTTTGTTACGAAAGCTGTGGCGAAGCGATGGATATCGCTGTTTGTATTCCCATCGGCACATTCTTCGTTGCCGTTTATAACTTTCTTAGCGATGGCGCGCCACTTTTTCTAAAAAAACTCGACATAAACACCACCGGACCAAGTAGTTGTACCTGGGGCACTCCGCGTCAATAAGGGGATGTAAAAAAATCATTTTTATAAAAAATCTTGTTTATCAAATAATTAATAAAATGAATTGGACGTATATTATATAGAAATCGTCATATCGCGCGTTCAAAGACCGTTACTGAACATAAAATATGCAATTTTATATGAGTACCATATGCGGTAGGCAGTCATTCACATCACAGGATTTATGGACGCGATGACGCAGTAACCCGGGCCGTTCTCTGAACGGACATGTCTTCTTGTATCTTGTATTAACTGATGTTTTTGCTTTCAGACCCGAGACTATTAAAGCTTCATCGGACGCAGAACCGGTGGGCTAGCCAGAACCCACGGGTTTGGACCCTCCGCTATGGGTAGGGTCGCGCATGTGCTCATGCGTGCGTTTAACTACTATGGTGTGTCATCTAAGGGCTGTCGAGGTCGCCGGTTCGGACCGAGACCCCGACGGCCGTCGACTGGGCATTTAGCTAATCGGTGGCTGGGAGCGGTGAGAACCGCCCCGGAACGCGGGTGTACCTTGTGTACGCGTTGTGTGGGTCTCGCCGTGCTCGGAGGCGAGGGCGAACTGGTGTGATTGTTGTTACACTAACTGTGGGTGTAGTGTTATCCGGCGGGACCCCCGGCGGTGGGTCCATCGAATATAAGTCTTCTTCGTCGACCGGGTCGATGAGGACGTTTCGCGGGCGACGCTTGTTTACGTTCGCGTTTGTGTCCGGTTGGTAGTTTGCTGCGCTTACCACCAGAGGGTTGGGATGATGCTGGACTGTATCGAAGAACCGTTTTGTCAAATCTTTAAAATGTGCGCGAATCGTCGGGAGTCTGCAATCGCTGTGCAGGTCGACGTTGCGCTGATACCACTGCGCACCGGTTGCGCGGCGGATAAACTTATTTTGTACTATTTGCAACTTGTACAAGCGAGTAGGGTGCGTGTGGGCGAAGATCATGCATGCGTAGGACATAATAGGTCGTACGCAGGTCTTATATAATAATAATTTGTGCCTTAAGGGCATTTTACTTTTAGCATTAGTTAAATTGTGTAGCCGGCCGGAGACGAACGCGGCTCTATTACAAACGTTATTAATGTGCGTAGTAAATGACATACGCGAGTCGAAAGTGACTCCTAAGTATTTGACCTTTTTCTCCCAGGGGAGCGGTTGGCCATAAAGGATATTTGCCCCAACTTTCTGCATTGGCGAGGGCCATTATAAAGATGTGACGGGTAGCTACTTCGTGTGAAGTGAATCGCCACACTCTTTTCGGGATTAATATCGATTCTCCATTTGCGGAACCAATCGCCGAGGCGGTCGGCAGCGCTTTGGAGTCGAGTCGTTAATTGACTGAGGTTGCGGTCTGAGTAAAAGAGCGCCGTGTCATCCGCGAAAAGCGCGAGATTGACGTGGGGGTCTCTAGGTATGTCGCTCGTGTAGAGCGTAAATAGCAAGGGTGAGAGGCAGGAGCCACACGTACCACATGTCTTTCGTCATTTATTCAACCTTATGGATGTAGGTCCAACAATCTCTACATTCTGCAATACTTCAAGCTGATGTACTGCAAGATGACGAAAATTAGACACTGTCGTCGGCGTGCACTGCCAAGTAAAACGCTCTAAGGTGCGTCCTTACCTTATATATTGACATGCATAAATTATTTTTATTTGTCAGGCACATTATTTTTCTTTGTCAGGAGCTAGTTAAAAAAAATATCATGCACTCAGTATGGTTACACATGCTTCAAAGAAAATCAGAATACAACGTTTGGAATACCTGAATGCTTCTGACCCTTTCAGAGGCATTCTTCAAAGCTTTCCTATCACAGTCCACGGTAAGACTGGGTATATTGTATCCGAGCGTGAGAGCCACCAACAGATGGCCTTTCCCTCCGCCCGCCTCTAAACAATGAGTAGATTTGGTTGCGTTGTAAAGCGATGCGACAAAACGAGACATTCTTTGTACCTAAAAGAGCTAAAGATATATCGGTCGTGTAAACAAAAAAAAAGTAGTACTTATGTACGCGCTTAAGAAGTTATACTTCTCTAGCGTAAAGACATTAAATGCAATTGATAACGGTTTATTTCACTAACTTGGAATTATTGGTAAATGTCAAAATATTTGTTATTGGTTGCTTTTTTCTTTTTTTGTTGTTTTATTTTTTTTCTCTCATATTTTTTCCAAACGCGCCAAAAGAAGTATAACTTCAATACTTAATGAACATTGAGAGGATTTTTCGAAATGTATTTAAAGAAAAAGATATTTCTGTAGATAACTGGGTATTTGACACCAAGGAGAAATAGCTAGTGTACAGATACTGTATGTGGTCGGTGTATGTGGTATTTTGTTAATGACAGAATCACGGAAAAATTACATGTTAAGTTCATATCTTCAATGTCAGTAAATTATGAACTAATAATTTCTTCAGCCATTATATACTCCCTGATACAAGCTATAAGAGTCAAAAAGAATTTTCATAGACATTATATTTAATAACTTATCAACCAAAACAATCTATAATTAGAAAGCAATAATGCAAACTCAATGAGTCAAAACATAATTAAAAATATGATTTTGTTCAACATGCATTTTTAATTTCATATTTTACCTCATAACTTTTTTTGCTAGTCATAAACTCCTTAACCTTAATCTCTGGTGGCATAACTCCGCCCCAAGAATTTACATGTTCCTGCAGCTTTTCAATTGAAATACAGTATTCATTATTAACCGTGAGGCTATGAGCTTGTGCTTTATGAACCCATTTCCGAAGTTCACAATCATCTAAAAAAAGTATTAAAAAAGTAATCCTTCTATGCATACTTAATACACAAACAATCCTCAACTAGTTTTAGCTCATGCATATTTTTAATGATAGTTAATGTCAGGGATTCTCAAACTTTTTAAACAAAAATATTAATTATTATTATGTTCCTAACCAAAGACAGCCGACAAATGCTAAGTTATTGGCATAACCACTGACGTATCAGTGGAGCCATAGCAAGAAAAAAAAATTAAATGTTAGAAGGTAGAAATTAAAAAATGTTCAAACTACTTATATTATTTATATGAATATTTTAAAATATAAATCAACTTAGTTTGAGACAATTAAATCCTTGCACAAGGGGAGGTGCAACTGATGTTGATAAGTGAAGGTTTAACATCATTCAGCATAAAATGTGAATCATGTAACGAGGTTTATAACCAAATAAAAACTACTGATATATAAATTTTTCACGTTCAGTGGAGCACTATATAGTTACACCAGCAGCACATAGTTTGAGAAACCCTGAAAAACTAGTAATTATTAAATAACATGAAATAAAATGCGTCAGTATAACATTAAAAGGATGAAGGATTCAGGCAGGGATATAACAACAACAATACAGACAACATCAACATTCCCATCTATATTTTTTACATACGAACTTCACATACCAGGGTGACCACCCCAGAAATCCAAGCGACTTTAAACAGGATGAAGCCTCATTTGAATGGAATTTGTAAGTTAATATGCTATGAAGCTTAATTTGCAAGTCCTAGTTTGTTAGTCAGCCCTGTGAGCCACAATACAATTGCTTACAATTCAAGCAGCAAAATCTGTTACAATTGGGTTAAATTCTATCTTAACAACTAATTTTAGGTAGATCTTTTAGGATTGAATATTGATCAATAGCCATAAACATATTAATGTTATTAATCATATTATTTTTATCTGTATTAGTGGGATTCACAAAACTTTTCATACATCTTTTGGAACGTAAAAGTGAAGTAACAATCTATTAATGTCCCATTGCTGGGCAAAGGCCTCCTCTGTAACGAGGGCATCAGGGCATAGCCCACCACGCGACCCCACTGTTGATTGGCGGACTTCACATATTTTCGAAATATATTTTTAATTTGAAAATATGCAGGTTTCCTCACGATGTTTTCCTTCAATGCTGAGAATGTGGTAAGATAGCACTTAAAATTAACAATTTAATGGTGCCAGCACCGAGGATCAAACTCAGGTTACTCAAGTAAATTTAATTAATTCTGTCTAGAGTATTAATTAATTTAATAATTAAGAAATGACTGCAATATATGATGTCTTATGTCATTTAAAGTTCATATGAAGACCTTACCATTATTATTTTTTTCAGATGCGTATGTCCAGAATTTCTCAACAGAATAGTTAAGATCCCAGTCATCCAATGTTTGTCTTAAGGCTTTTGGTAGCAGCTTCTCCCAATGTTGCTCATTAAAAAACTCTACCATGTGACAGTTAGCTAAAGGTAACATTGGATTCAAGTACTTTAAAATTCGATCTAAGTGAAGATGGATTTTACTTATTCTTGATTCCATAGCTTAAAAAAAATGAAAGTAAGTTATTATCCTCTAATAAAAAAATATAGGAGCACAAGAAAATATTTTTACCTATAATTACCTGATTTTTGTGTCTTTCTTATTTAAACTTAATTAATAACTTGCCCTTAAAATGATATATTAACAGCATAAGGATTGTTGGAGGATATTTTGAGTAATGCACAAGCCTTCTTATATTGCGCCCTTATACTTTCTAGCAATGCTAATATGTCATGCTGTTCAGAGTTTGTGCGGGGGAAGTCTTCAATTAATTTCTGAACCTTTTCCAATTGCTGTACAACTTTATCTGATAACTGAACATCAGATTTGTTATTATTGTCCAAGTGATTTGTCACAATTCCAAAGTAGTATCCTGAGGGCCAGAAGGAATCCTACGTAAAATATACTCAAGACAAGGCAGTAATTTTTATCAAATTCCTTCATAGATCATTTAAGCCTTTATTTCAAACTAATATATATTTGAACAAACCCATTTTAATTTAAAATTACATAAAAACAAGAAAAATTAAGGTATTAAACATAACATGTACCGATTTCTCTTCCAATTTCAGCTCCTCTGTGGTAGCCTAAGTGATAACCTTCAGGGCTTCCAGCATCACATCCAGCTCGGTAACCCTCTTTGTAACTCTCGTTGCGTAGAGTATTTTCGCTTAGAAATATTTCTTCGAGAGCATCGTTGAAATCTTTATCCTCCGCCATCTATCGAAACATTTGTACATAAAGTACTTACTATTACTATTTTCAATTTTTCATATTTTAATCTATGCAACTTTTAACCTATTGTTTAATCCTATCTTGATCTTATTAGTCCTGTGATTCTGTGTATATTTCAGAGTATATTCTTCTCAATTCCCCATTCAGGTGTAGTTAATTTCAACATACATATTAAGCCACCAAGCATATTTTTTTAACAATAGTTATATGATACATGATATGAATATAATTCAGTGTCGTCATTTGTGACGACAAATGACAATTGACATATGGCCAGGGATGCCAGTTTCATTGTATATAATTTTTTGTAGTGTAGTTCTATGTTAGCCCAGCAGTTGTGATAAAGTTTGCCCGACGAAGCTATCAAAGCCGTCGGTGGGGCAAACATAAAACTACATTTACATAAAAAAAAATCGAAGGAAGACTAAGCGACTAAGGCTGAAGAGGGAAGGGGGGGGGGGGGGGGGGTTTGTTCTGGACTATTTTTTACGTTTTACTTGGATGAGAAGGGGTTGCATCATGTGGGGCAAACAGTGCTGGTAGTGTTGGAGAAGTATAAAATAATAATAAATAAATAAATATTTTAGGACATTTTTTACACAACGTTCTCTAGTCCCAAACTAAGCAACGCTTGTACTATGGGTACTAGAAACTGATAGACATACTTAAATATATTTTTCTTTTGTAAATAAATACATATTATACATATATAAACACCCAGACACTAGAAAAACACTATGTTCATCACAAAATATTTTTCCAGTTGTGGGGATCGAACCCACACCCTCTGACGCAGAAGGCACACTACCCACTACACCGTTCGGGTCGTCAAACGCTTATACGTATACGCCCCGGGTGGGTCATTTAAAAAACAGGCTTGTTGCCCGGGCCTCTGGTCGACACTACGTGGGCACAGGTATTGACGTTAAAGAAGTTGAGACGGTTCTCAAACCATCCGGGTCAAGATCCGAATTGACGGGCGTAGTTGAATAGGTAGGTTGAATTTGTAGAGTCATAAATGTTTAAGATAACTTAATGTGCGCTTCTTATTTGTATCCTTTTCTATTTAGATTCCCAAAAAGCCCTAAACGAAGAGAACAATAATTGATGAAAGCTATTCAATTAGAGAGACATGAAAGCGATCTAACTTCTACCAAGACTTCAAAAATATTATGCTCAAAAACTTAGAAATAGGTAGATTGCTGTTGAAACATTTCGAAAAACGTATTTAATAGTCTATGTTGACGAACATTTATGTATCAACGTGCCATTTTCTGTAAAGAAATATTTTATATATTATCCTAAACGTGCCATCAAATAATTTTCACTTTGTGTTTCGCAGATTTCTTGTAAAGGACACCCAGGCGAATCAATGTGTCACATTATTTCCGGGTGTTCACGTCTGGCTTACGAATATTTCTTGCATAGACACAACCGTGTATCCAGCAACTTTCTCTAAAATATAACCTTGTGGAATCAGAAGTGCCGATCCAGTTCTTGAAAATGACAGTATTATATTGTAATGGGATCAATCCGTCATCGCGGAGAAGAATATTGTAGCCAATAAGCCTGGCTTAATTGCCAAGAGCTTCGAGCAATACTTGAGGAGGCTCACGTTAGGCAGCTGGCTCGAAGGTTTCATTCCGAAAACAATATTCCGGGACACGGCTCGTCTTGTTAGAAAGTTTCTTTCTCTGGAGCCCTGACATCCAATAGATTGTTATCTGTTCCCGATACCAATAGGGCAATTTTTTTTATATATATTTTAAATGTTTTATGTTTTAAATAAATTTTTTGTAAAATAAAATGTAGTGTTAGTGTAACTTCTGTTCTCACGGATAAATTATTTTAGGGTTGTGAGATGTTTCTTTTAGCAGAATGCATGCTGAATTGGGTTTGACCCCAATTCAGTTTCTAACCTAGCCTTTGATGTTATTCCTCTCCGAAAATAATGACTAAAAGGCCTTGGTGGACGAAAATATTGTGACAGTAAAATGTGTCTGCTTACGCATTCCATGTTTCCAAAATTTTGTTATTAGCATTTTTACTTTTATTACTTCTCTTAATCTTTTATCTTTTCTGTTTCAATGACACTTAAACCAAGTTTATTGATCTAATATTTACAAGATTAGATCTAAAATTACATATTATCTAATAAACTTAATCCCCGCGGTATGGTTCCAAGAACGCTAGCTGCATTTCCTCGCTGAATAGTTAAATGCTTATCCTTTGAGCGAGAAAAGAACCAGCTCTCTTGTCACCAGCCGCGGCGTTAAGTCTTTGACATAAACTTTTAAAAAATTTCAATGTGCGGGGACCCCACGGACCTAAAGTTTCAACAGCAAATGGCAAAAATACATAATCTAAACATAAAGAATCATATCTGCGCCATTTACTTACTTCAGCTGCCTCCGATGCCACCCGGCCCTGACCGAAGTACCCCTTAGATTATGTTTCAATTAATTCCAACTCTTTCCAAGTTTCAATAAATTTTTAGTTCGTATATCAAATCAAATCAGGATATATCTAACAACGTCACCCCTCGCACCGTACCCGAACACTCATTATGCATATTGCATTACTATTGACTGAAACATGAAATAAAATAAAAGCAAAATGTCTATTAATGAAAGTTAATAATTATTTCAAATGTTTTGTTAATTATTTCAACTATTACAATGAATAGAGTGAAAAGTATTTAAAATTAAAGTCATTTAAACAATATCTTTGCTTTTACAATACAGAGTTTTTTTATACAGGGCTTTTCAAAATTGCATTCAGGAATCAGGGTTATTTAGGGGACATACCCTTTGAATTTAAGGGCATTTTTTTTAGTACTTGGCTACTTGGTAACACTGCGTTCTTCAACCTTCAACTTTATTCATGTGACTTTAGAGGAAAGTTTACGTTTATTTATTATTCATTTAATCATTTCATTGCCAGTAAAAATACGCCAGATAATATTTAGTTATAATTTCCTTCACATCATTTAATTAGAGTATTCCAAATTATTTAATTGACATCAAATTAATAATCTTAATAGACTTTTGCAATGGTAAGAGAAATAAGCTCCGAGGAAGTTAAAAAACATCGTGATAGTAAAAGTGTGTGGATTATCATACATAATGATGTTTACGATGTAACAAGTTTTTTGGAAGAGGTAAAAATTAACCTATTTTCTGAAAACCTTATTTTAGGGAAAGTTTAAATTTATTTATAAAATATACATGTTAATTTTTTCATGTCTCATGTAATAAAATTGCATTAAAACTTGTAGCACCCTGGTGGTGAAGACTCGCTGCTCGAAGTAGCTGGGGAAGATGGCACACAGGGATTTGAAGATGTGGGACATAGTGAAGATGCAAGGTTTGTCATACTTTGAATAATTTATTTATCACTTACTATTATATCACTGTGTCATATTCGACTGCATATCATTTACATCTTAGTATGATATCAAAGTGAAAAATGTTTTTATTTGGAACTACAACAGTTCCCGCTGTTGCTTGAATGATCTGGCTCAATTGGCAAAGATATATCAGGCCACAGAATAGTGTCCGGTGAATGGGTGTGACCGGATGCTCAACCTCTTTTAGTTTTACAATGTATTAGTAACTATAGGTTTTATTATTTTTATATAGGTTTGTTACGGATCAGCAGTTATTTTTTAAATACATATTTGTTCTAAGTACAGGTTCGGTTGTGTTCATAATTCATAGAAGTAAATTGAGAGATAACTTAAGAAGTAAGGTTATCTGACTAATTGCACCCCTTTATTCTAGAGAATTATTGAAGAAATATAAGATTGGGACACTTCCGGCCGGTGAAACAAAAAATCAAGTATCAGATAATAGGTGAGTTAAAGTTCCATGTAATTATAGATTTTCTATGTTTCTTTAAAAAGATCTATAAATCATCATGATGTTAAAATTTGATCTCCCATGTTCATGTTAAACAAAATAATGATGTATTTCATTAAAATTTTGATAAAATCTCTTCAGCTGTTATAGATAGTTTACCATAAAATATAACAAATTATTTACAAATTCCTACAATAATAACAATAACTTGACAACATGTTTTGATGAAATTTGAATTAAGAAAATATTAATATTTCATAAAATATACTTTACTTATTTATCTACCCGTTACAATATATGATTAATTCTCAAAGTAAGTATATCATGTAGATAAGCTCAGCATTAGGATGTATAATTTACACTCCTAATAAATGTTATTCTAGCCAATACCTAAAAATTTTGCGCTTTTTTCTTGTGCAGTGGTGCTGTTCGACATTTGTGCTCAAGCTGTTCGACTTCAAGGTTATATCGTATTTATTTTTAATTTTTCAAATTGAATTCGAAACATCTGGATAAATACATGAAGTTTTCATATTTTTTTTTCAATTTCCATCAAGTTGTCATATTGCACCGAGGGCCACGAAAAAAGCTAAAACATGGCGGACGTACGACGGATCTCCTAGAAGGTCCTCCTTGGCTTTGTTTTGTTGAAAAATGTATTTAACATGACAACACCTATTAAAGTTTTACAATAACAGTTCCAATTCCATTATAGAATATACAGCGTGTCGTTACCATCGCGACAATAAATGAACACACGTCTAACGCTACTTGCCAATAATCATAAAAAAATATTAACGTTAAACAAAATCCATAATTAAAAAAAATATTTTTCAAACAAACTAATTAAGTAAAAAATAAACAAAATTTGTAACATCCTATACAACTCGCGCCACAGCGTCGCATTACAAGCCTCCTTCTAACAGTATGTTTTGTCTCTTTTAAATTCATTTAAACCATTCATATGCTTTGTGACCTTTACAAATGAACTTTACGTTATAGTTTTATACGTAAGGGTGTTCCAAAATTCTTTGTTTTGGAAAATTTAATAACTCTGTAAATATTGATGTTTAAAGAATGTAAATGTTTAATACAAGTTTAAAAAGTTATCCACTATATGTGTGTTCATTTGTTGTCGCGATTGTAAAGACAAGCTGTACAAATTCCGCTATAGGATATATGATGCATTCGTAATGCAATGTTTGTAGCCAATGTTAGTGTATATGGTTGTTCTCTAGTCAAATTACTTTGGTTTTTGTTCTTTAATTTTAGTTTAGACGTTATTTCATACATTTGACCTGATTACCAATGTATGTAAATGTTTCATAGACAATTTCTACTGGATGTGTTCGTTGTTAGCCAAGCAAGACAAGTGTTAACATCAGCTGAACTGCCAGCTCGTTTGCCACTTTCTCACATAAAAAAAAAGTTCAGATTTATCAATGAAATATACGTAAAAGCGGTTGTTGTGAAAAGTAGTGATAGATATTCTACTTATTAATGTTTTCACACTTTTAGAGATAAGTTTATTTATATAATAGGAATAGCGCATAATGGGCCTAATCGTAGTTAATAAAATATCTAAAATTTTCATTAGTCGTATACTCATTATTATGCCGTATATTTTTGTAGTATAGTAGAACTCGGCAGCTTCTAAAATAATATTCATAAATATTTGTATTCATAAATGGGCTACGCAACAGTCTTCGCTGTTGCACGAATGGGCAGCTCCGTCCGGGGAAGTACCACGATCTCATGGAAGACCGGCTTGAAGTAAGTGGAAGTGTTACACTTTTGCGTTAAGTGTGCTGAGTGTGGTAACCGGAGCCCACTTTATTAAAGGGTGGCAACGTATCTGCAAACCTACGGGTGTTGCAAGTGTCCGTGGGAACTGCTAGACCGCTTTTCATCTTCTCGCATGAAAAACAAATTTGTTAACACCGAGTGAAACTACAGTTCTTTGCCAGCTTCTCAAAAAAAAAAAATCACACGATTTTTTTCCAACGACAGCCGTTCAAAGTCCCCGAAGTCCTCTCTACGAAACCTGCCGCCTTCGCCGAGGCAGGAAAGGAGGATACAGAAAATTGTTGTGCCCTGTGAGAGGTTAACGCTTTCAGATTTTAATTTTGGCAACCCTGCAAAAAAAAATAGTTATATTTGAAAGTTGTAGAAACAGCAGGTGTTGCCACCTGTCAAATACGCATCGATACTTAGGCCGTCAGTGCAAAGAATATAAAATCATATTATTAGGAAAGTGTTCATATAATATTCTCATAGTGAACCCTTATCGTATAAATTTTTGTTGACACTAATCCTTATACTATACACTCCGTAGTCGTCAGAAATTTTCCTGGCATTTCTTATTAATCTGTGGCTGCTTTTGATTGTCCTGTGGTGTAATAGAACTGAACTCTCTTTAAACAAAAGGCACTCAGTAATAATGTATAACTTGTCCTTTTTAATATAACTTTAACTCACTATTTACTTGGTACTTGGTGCTTTACACTTGGTACTTTTGCGTGCGGTCCAGAACGTTTCTTCGTTCATCTGGTACTGTTTTTAATTGTTGTCGTCACGAAGATGTTAAGGATGTTTTAAGATTATAAGTAGATATAAATATTAATCGGCGAATTAACCGTGGGACGCTCTTAAAGTTTGACACGGCAATTCCAGAGGTGTTGCCATATGCCAAAAGTAGCAGTAATAACTAAACGTCACCCTCGTTGTCCAATCTACGTTATAAAAATACGATTTACTTTGTCCGAGTCTTGGTCAGGTATTCACCAGCCTCTCGCTAGTCATCTGGCATCAAATTGTTGTATTCCAGGCATAAGGAGAATTACGAAGAGTCCACACTCCCGAGCAGCAGGTGTATATTTTATGGATTTTTTAAAAAGGCCTTTTGAAAGAAAGCAATAAATGTTTATTAGGCGCATTACAAATATATAGGGGAAAAATAAATAAAATAAAAATAATACTAAGATCGTAAAAGAAATTATATACCACGACACTGGTTTTCTGCGTATGCCTTTAAAGATTGGCGTTCAACTTATGCATACAGGCAGCAAATACTAAAATTAAAATATTAATTGTTTACTTAAATCTTACACACAATCGAATATGCAATTAAGTAACATCTTGTGTCTTGTATTAACTGATGTTTTTGCTTTCAGTCCCGAGACTATTAAAGCTTCATGTGACGCAGAACCGGTGGGCTAGCCAGAACCCACGGGTTTGGGTAATAAATAACAGGATATGGCATGGTTGAGTGATCATTGGCATATAACTATTGTTGTTAAGTGCAGTTTTATCCTTGAATAATCTCGACTCTAGCATATATAGATAGTTGCGTAAAAATGTTAATTATAACAAGCAATAATAAAGGCCAGTAATTTTTCAGTTGGATTGTTTGTTTCTTTCTTGTCTATCTTAAAAACGACTCGAACAATATTCAATTGGTATTATTTTTTAATTTTAGGAAGAATCTAAATCTACCGTGCCGCAGGTGATTATCGTTTTCATTAATATTAATTTGACGTTCAACGAGAAACTAAAGGCATTAATTTAATGTTTTTTTTTCTTTCATAAGCCGCTCGCCATCACCAAGAAGGTTTTTTTATGTTCCAATACCTACTCGTTAATTTGTTAGTTAGCCAATTACAGTCTCGTTGTATTTAAATTGCGTTAAACTTGTAGAAATAGAGTAGTTGGTCGTCAGTTAAATTTTTAGCCGAGTTTGAAATTGCGCATGACTGGACTTGCATTTTTGATCAGACACGAGGAAAACGTTTCCCGTTTACCGAGTGTAGTTATCTGTTTCTTTGTTTATCTTACGCCCGGCTTCTGAAACAGAAGTTAACTAATCACCTGTCAAATGGATTTTGCATGTTGAGTAGAGATGCAATTGCTGGTATAAAATTTGATACATGCATCATAAGTAAAATCAAAATCTTCTGGAAATAAATTTTTGAAGTCATGTAATTTTCAAATTGAGGGCTGTCAATCTGTTTTCTTAGATATCTGTTTATTATTAGATCTTTCTTAGTTTCGAAATATTCTTTACTTAAGTTAACATAGTTTAGCTAGATAAATAGATTTTTATATAATAAATAGAATTTATACGTAATTACAAATGAATTGCGTGACAAGATTTGGGTTAATGTTTTTTCCCTAACAACTTCTATACAGGTCCTAAAGCCACTAGTGGGCTTAGATACGTATAGGCATCAATTCCATTTTAATTTATACTTATATTGCATATATATAAATATATACATGATTTCTCAAAACATAATGAGGTACGCACATATTTCGTCTGTATGATGATATTTGCCTTCTTACTCCATTTATTCGATGCTGGTAAAATTGAGGTGTTGTGCTTAAACCTATGAAGGGGTAGATTTGGTAAAGAACATTTAAGAATAAAGCAAGTCGTACTATTCTGCCAATTGTAATATTGGGGTCTGCGTACTATATATTTTTTCAACAGTATATTAGTAAAGTCAAAAAATATATAGTACACAAAAATACTTTTTATAAATTAATTTTTATAAATTAATATAATACAATATAATGTAATAAATAAGTAAATAAATAATTTTTAATTAATTAATTTCTCACTTTCACAAACAAAAAGTGTAATTTTTACACAAAAAAGTAACACATATGTAAATCTTTTTGTATTCTATACTTTATCCATCAATTGTATTTTGAAATATCTATTTTTAAATTAATTATATAATTGTGGATACTATTTATTTTGTTGCGTATTTAAAAAAATAATATTATCAGTCTAATTTTGTAACGCTGGCTTTTGACCATGTTTTGCAAAATAAAAATAGTACCCGAGTGTTGTTTTAACTTTTCAATGTGTCTCTGTTTCAGATTGAATTTGAAATGGGCGATCGTGGCGTTAGCGGGCGCAATACTCGTTGGCGTCGCACTTAGGAAGTACCTGCGATAAGGAATACAACAGAAACGGAAGGGTTTTAACCACCCGAGACTAGTTTCGGTCCAAATAATGTAGACAGCTTTCCGAACAATTCCAAGGCATTTATCTGGAATGTGTTTTATGGAGACCTCTGTATTGTCCTATAATTTTATGAGGGAAGCCAACACTCGAGCATTCTCGTCCGCTACCTAATTTTTTAAAATTCAATAGTGTACAGTCTACAAAATGCCAAACGCATATGTTACTAATTGGCTATGGATGCTAGCGTTCGACTGTACCATTATCACATGTGATATTATACACTATTTATTTTAATATTTTACAATTGTTATCCAATTTCTTATATTGATTATTCCCAATCTAAGTGTTGTGACAATAAAGTAGAAATGAGAAAATCGTCATCGATGTTTTAAAATTAAAAACGAAACGATTCAACGGTATAGGGTCCTTTCGAATGTATCTGCCATAAATCTTCAACTGTTCAGAGAATTCTGCAAACATAATAATTATAATAAGTTCGAATTGTGCGCTTAAATACCGTAAGTACCCATTTTTTCCTAAACTCATCTACATCTCACATATCTCAATGTTATTTCTTCCTCAAATTAATAATATGGGACATACAAACAATCTCTTTCATCATCGACATAATCGATCTGGTTGAGTTACAAAAAGTACTCATATATCTCGGTGAAAACTTTAAATTTCTCCCGCACACGAGATGCCTCTGAAATCTAACTTTATCCGTGAGGATCATCAGTTTTATGGGAATATTGTCTTACTATAAACATTTGCTTCAAACTACTGGAATATAAAACGATCAATAAGAGAATTAATTTATTCGGCGAATAATTTAAAAATGTTATAGCAAAAGTATTTATAATCTGTTATAGATATGAAGGTTTTTAAGCTTAATTTCTATAACAGATTATAAATAGACAAGTTGTGAACAGGAGTAGCGGGCTGAGATGGCCGCTGGTCGCTTTTGAGTAGGGTCCAATTTTTGCCGCGTAAGCCACGGCGTGGAATACATAGTGTTGCTCGTGCACGTTGTGGAACAGATGTGCGTGGGGCCCTGTGGGAGACGCGGGTTGTTGGTTAGTGCACAATTTCAGAGCGCTTGGCCCGTTTGCTTGGCGCTTAAGGGTTGCAGATAAGTAGATTTACTCGGTGAAGTCAAGCTTTGATATTTTATCTGTCGTCTTTCGTTTATTTACAACAATACCGTCTTAGCTGTGTCCGGGCGCTCGCCTTTATTTCAATATACTCGAGCAACCTGAGTTCGATCCCCGGTGCCGGCATCAATGAATTTCTTAGTTTCAAGAGCTGACTTACCACGTGCTCAGCGGTGATGGAAAGCATCGTGAGGGATACTTCGACCTGCATATTTTCGAAATGATAACAAAGAAAATATTTCGAAAATATTTTAAGTCCGCGGTGGGGTCGCATGGTGATATGCCCTAATAGTCCTCCATTTGACACAATTTAAGCGTCTCTAGAGGGGCCGTAGTAGTTTTTAAACTCGCCAGTCTGTTTTGTACCGTTCGTCTGTGTACTTAAAGTCGTAATTGAATGTGCCCACTGACTTTATACCTACCCTTTGCGTAGACTGCGACATCGCCGCCGCCGTGGCTGTTCTCGTCCAAGGGTATTGCGGCGATCTGTTCGTACATGAAATTCTCTACATCCTCCCCGCTAGGATCTCTCCTAGTGATTGTCCCGTTCTCCTTGTTCACGGTGTAATGGAGGGAGCCTGGTCCCCCCGTACCGTAGGAGAGGGTCGTGTAGTTGATCCGGTCGAAGGGGGAGACGCCGGCGATGCCTGCAATTGGGAATGCGATGAATAACTAACCTCAGAATAATATCAAGACTCATTACGGTTTAGATTTTGTTCTGGTATCTGGTTCCTGTCCAGATATTTAGTATTTGTTTTCATGTTGTTCAGAAAAGTCTTATATATCGGAATGAAACCACGTAAAAACTATCATGCTTTGTGTTTGGTGCCTTCGTTAGAATAATACGGACTGAAAGCAGGAATACAACTTACTCATCGTCTCTTTGTCTCATCCTAACAAAAAAAAATTAGTAGTATTTAAATTTTTTCTTCATCGTTCAGGCTGACTTTTGTTATTCTATCCACTGACGTCCGCTGTTGAAAAAAGGCCTCCCTTAGAACGCTACAACACCGGTTGCCCGCGCCTCTAACAATGTCGTCGGTCCATTTTCATATGGATGTGTTGCGTTTTCTGTGTATAGGATTTTGATCATTCCTCGTAGTGCACTTATTAACTAACTAACTAACTAACTGCTCGGCATTACAGTATTTCTTGCAACTTAATTTAAAAGCCAAGCGGACCAGTTAAATAAATGGAAATCTTACCAACACCTGTTTCGGCGTCGGGAGTCGTGGGTCTTTTCTATTATTTTTTATTTCCACACGAGACAACTGTTTAAGTGACATTGACAGTCTATTCATAATTCTTTCGGATGTGCGTGTTTATCCACGTCAAATTTATGTATGTAAACGTCTTTACAACACAGTATAATGTTATCCTACAGTAAGGGGGCAATGTTTTCGATAGAAAGACTACAAGATCCTTCTATCATATCCCGTCGTTGGGATTTAATACCCAACCTCTTCCACAAAATGTTAATAAACACCATCACCTAGAGCTACTTGAAACAGTTACCAAAGATACTCGAGCCCCGCTCTGGGTATCCGTTGATGGTCAAGGTGTGGGTGTGATCGCTGGTGACGATGATCAGCGTCTCATCATCCGTCAGGTCCACGGCCCACTGGACGGCGCGTTCCATCGCCGAGGCCTCGTCTATCGCGGTCTTCGCTCGGCTGCGATGGTGGGCGAGGTCTATCTTACCGCCTTCCACCTTCAAATCGTAGGCCCATTAGGAGAACGCATAATAAATGGTTCGACTATGTGGTGCTCAAAAAATTACTACCCATTTTCCGTCCGATAACATTTTGGGCGTCTTCGGGTTGTCTTTAGACAGTGGGCATTTACCACCAACATACATTACTGTATAATAGTGCATTATTTTGTAAAAGAAATTTTATAACGAACTTTGAATATTTATGCCAACATCTTTCACTTATCAGAAACGTAAAAGTAGTCGTATAATTGCGTCGGTTTTATGAAAGCCCTGATACTCCCAGAAGAGTGTGACCATTCGTGCAACAGAAGATGTTGCGTGGCTGTATCATAATAAAAACCTTACACGTTTATGGATTTAACACCCTCTCTGAGAAGTATTCGCTATCTTTGTCACCACCATAAGGGTTAAAACAACAGATTTTTTTTTTACGGAAAAGGAGGCAAGCGAGCAAAGTTGTTATTTAGTAAACTGTAAAGTATTTGAATGCGCAAAATACAATGCTAACTAACCATCAGGAAGTATCCGTTGGGGTTTTTCTTCAACACTTGTATCGCAGCTCTAGTCATATCCGAAATCGAGGGCTGCCCTTCGGGACCTTTGTCCCTTTCAAATTCGTATTTCAGATGTTCGTTTGCGAAGATACCTGATGGCAAAAAAGAAGCAAATATAACAAATATTAGATGCCCGCTGAAATAGTTATTTGTTATTTTTTTTTTAGTTTTACTTTTAGTGTAGTCCCAGGCAATTTTGTTTAATTGGGCACAGCAGGCAATCTTCAACAATGTGTATATAAATTATCGAAAAAATTTTGACTGTAAAGGACACACCGGTTGCTCAAGCATTTCTAAAAATGCAATGAAACAAAGAATCTTCTGTATCATATATAAGATGTAGGCCGCTAGTAGTTTAGTGGTTACAGTCTCTGTGCGCTTTATCCGGAAGGCGAAAGTTTGAATCCTGCTAACGGTGAGAAATGTTTCAACAATTTATCGACACGTATTAAGTTTGATCATAAGTGTGGGGGTTAGCAATGAAAAATGACTGTAAATTATGCTACATTATTTCATCGGTGCCATCTTACCGAAAAGGTAGTCAGCACTGTCGTCAATATTTTGTAGCTCTCTCGTATTCGAGACTACATTGTATTTTAGGCCTCTGTTATCTTTGTCCTTCCTATATTCCTCGATCAGGTCTCTCCCGTCCCGCCTATAGCATGACCAGGCACTGATTGGATCTCCCGGAGAGCCAGTAGAGTTCGATACCAGGACTTGCCGTCCGCCACCTAAAACAACCTGGAAGAGAGTTCTCCACTGACTGGATCTCCATGATCCAACGGTCAAAGGTGAATCGGTGGCACATTTGCTAAGCTATTGGCGCCGGTGGTCGTAGGTTCGATTTCCAGACGGGAAAAGTATTTGATTGAGATTGTCCTGGATCTGGGTGTTCATTCCCAAGGAAGGTTTACGCCACGCAGGCGGCCAATCGTAAAATAATCTAGCCCATACCAATAACAACATGATTGTGCCGACTATAAGGGACTCCACAATGGGATCCATTTTGTCCCTTATAGCAGGAGAGAGAAAAAGATTGTCAAAGATAACATTATCAGAGCTAAAAAACTCGAGACTAAAATAGCCATAGTGTTCAGCTATCAACGAACACATCGGAAACCTGGACATTTCCGAAATGTAACATGAAATAAGTTCTAAGATATTCGAAGTCTGCCAATCCGCAGTGGGGTTGCTTGGTGGACTATACTCTAATTTCCGACGTTTGGAGTAGGCCTTCGATTGGTTCCTTCAATTTTTTTTCTTTGTGCTTTGGGGAAGAACTTACGTGCAGTTCCCTCCCGGGCCAATCCTCGACCAGTTGGCGGGCGATGTCCTTACACTGGGCGGCTTCCGGCGGCATGTTGGCTTCGCACTCCCACTTCCTGGAAGCGCTGTGAGCGTATAGCGGCGCGGGCGTTGCGTGCGTCACCCGCATCGTTGTGACGAGCCCTGGGAAGAATGTCAACACTATCGACATATAGACCAAACAACTTGAGTCTTTATGCTCAATAGTGGGGAGAAACATTTGTTCATGGTTTTTTTAATGTGAAAACTTGTACAGCGAGCAGGTGGTTCACCTGATGTTAAGTGAATACCGCCGCCCATATACTTGTACACCCGAGGGTTCCAGATGCGTTAACAGCCTTTTGAAAATTGGATTCCGGTCACCTCACTCACCTGAGGAAACGCGAAAGTATTATACTTTCACTTTACCGTAGCAAAGCTTACTTTAGGAGTCCTACGGTTGCTAGGTAACAGATAATCATACATTAACATACTTTGGCAGACAATCTTGAAAAACGCTATGTGCATTACACAACATTTTTTAACAGTGTGGAACCACACCTTAATTGTGTTGGTAATTTCATGGTATTGCCATCTCAAGTCACGGCTGACCAATCTCTAAGTTACATACCGCTGCTCTTCCCGGCCTCTAACGCCAGCGCGGCCAAGGATTTTAGTCTGGTGTCCTGTTTCAGCGAAGCCTGGCAATCGTTTTGCTGAACAGTTGCGTCCAGTCCTAAAGTGCCCAAGTTAGATTTCACGCCGCTAAATAGCGCTGTTGCCGAGCAGGCTGAGTCTGGCACCATTTTGTTGGCGGAATACGTCTGGAAATGAATTCGGAATGAATATGGAGCAACCAACTATAAGCCTTTTTGAATCGTCCATAACAACTGTTTATAAACTAAAAAAACTTCAAAGCGTCGGTTTTAAGGAAATCGTCAGTACTGAATTGTCTGCTCTATAGGATTAGGGAAGCGAAATAACTTTGTTACTTACTTAATAGCTTTAATGCGTTTGGTGTACAAGTCAAATATGACTTTGTATTCAGAAAATTTCTCAGTCTGCAGCCAAAAGAAGGCGAAAAATCTTTCTCGAACTCTACCAATTGGTTCTGACTGTGCTATGGGAAAATTTATTTGAACGACCCAGAGGTAAAGTTCTACTCCTTTTGAAAGGCTCTGATATTTACATGTGATGCTACCGCAATGATCTTGACCCTCGCGAGAACTCCCAACTTGTATGAGGGGCTGAACTGGGGCTTTCATCCGCCACCAATGACAATCGCGGCTGAACCTTTTATGCTAGGTTACATTTTCTAAAAAATCACTTACGTTTCTGTGATCATCTACTGAGAAGCAAATCCGGCCCTGGGAATAGTATGCAAAGTAGGATCGAATCTCATCCCAATGCGATGACCTGTAGTGTCACACATAGCGTATGTGCAACGAGTGCATGATTTCATTATCAAAAATTAGTCTACAAGTAAAGGGGGAATAACAGACAACTGATAGTCCTGGATATTGTCTGGACGAATGGCAAACATAAGGTTCAACAGGGCAGGCGATCAATATAAAGCGACTGGAGCCCACGTGAGGGAAGTATCAAATCAGACAACAGATCCTCCCACATAATCGGTAATATATAACCCGAGACATTGGCGTGTAACACACTCAGCGAATGTGATCTGCTGTAATCCGTTTCTTCTTCCATCTTTAATCGACTAGACGCTCTGTACGATTAAATTGTATCAATGGAACAATCTGCTGGCATCTGTCTTTGTGTTCGAATATGACGACTATACAATTAATTGTCATTTACCATTAGGTTGCAAAGCATTCAAGCACTAGGCATTCAGAATCTGTTGCCATTTGGACGTGCTCAATGAGTTGGTCTGTTTTGGTATTAGCGTAATGGGACCTATAAAGACACTCTTAAATGAGGGCGTGGTAGTCGCTATCTATACGCAGTTCTATCCGGCATTGAATATTTGCGTATGCGTCAAAGGTTCCGCTAAATACCATTGCCATAAACACCAAATAGAGAAACCTTAGTACAAATGTTTATAATCCTCACCTTAAGCAGACCAAGGTGGGGGAACTTTTCAAAGGACATGCGGTGCGTCTCGCCACCCTGGTATATCCTAGCGGCCGTGACGGTGTTAGGTCCCATTCCGTCACCCACGAAGAGGATGACATTCTTAGCCGTGCCCAGATTCCATTTAATTTGTAGCGCTTCATTCAACTCGTTCTCCGCTAACCCACTCCAGTATTTTTGGTCTGTTGACGACAATATCCAGGTATACAAAATTCCTAATCCGCCCTCCTAGTATATCTGAACAATTTAAAACTACTTATTTTTATTAACGAATACAATTACCGTATCCAGCGTGAAAATAGGCCCCAAAAACAAAGAGATACACGTTTATCTCAATGTGTCGACAACGCACACAAAAGTTGAGACGTTTAGGAAAACGTATATGGAACGCTTGACCGCTTCCAACAGAAAAATAGTAATGTAGAGTAGAGGAGTAAGAGGATGTTCAACTGGATTTAGACACAAGGCAAGATGAACGCTGGAACCATCGCCTGCACGCCAGTAACACTGAACTCGTCAGCATAGCAAGAACATAATATTCAAAATTAATAATTGTTCATTTCTTAATATAAATACGGAAAACAAAGGGGAGGAAAAAGTTAAAATAAATTAAATTAGATTAAAACTCCAAAATCTAAGACCAAAATCAAATCTTATTCCCTACCAACTCTGATTTTGCAACATTTCCTAATTATAAAAATACTTAATCTATCGCTTATTTTTTTACTTTTTATCTCTTGTGCGTTTTTATACCCTTGAACTCCTCATTAAAGTCATATTATTGACACGAGCAAAGTCATATTTATAAATATATCAAAACTAAAAATTTATTTCTTATAATTTATTTTTATCTATGCCAAATATGTTATCTGCAACATCGTTCGAAAGGAGGCATCAGCATCACCAATGCAACAAGGAATGAAGCACAGCAGTTGTTAAGAATTAACCAAAAAATATTAGATAACGGAACGTAATGAGTATGAAAAGTACAATATACATTATTATTATTATTAACAGTGTTATTTTTTAATTTCGTGTATGACGTTTAGACCAAACTTATAAAGTAGATAGTATGGCGTAATATTCATTCACCGAACTATACTAATGACGGCGTCACATCGAATGAGTCAGACGAAAATCAGACTTACCTGTTTGTAGTGCGCATGTTGAGACACGACACAATGCGGCCACAACGACCACACTCCACGCATGCATGTTTCTAACTGATTAGTGATTTTGTAGAAAGAAATTATCGCGCGGTAGAGTACAAACATAATTAAATGATCGTTTCCGTTTTTGCTCGCTGGGAGTTCCGAATGTTTGACTCAACATTTACGGGAGTTAAGTAACAGACGTAAGCGAATATCAAATTATATTTTAACAGTAATGTCATTATGAAACTGCCTATCGGGGAACTGCGCTTAAGTTAATAGAATAGATCAAAGGTGTTTAGTTTCGTTTATATAGAATTTTATTTTATAAAAGTTTTTGAATTTAAAATTGTTATTCAAAGTACTCACTAGGGTCTTAAATGAAATATTTTTTAATATTATTTTCGCTGCCAACTAAAATCTCTTAGTGTCAGCCAAAATGTTTGTGAGTCCGTGTTAGGACCTATATCAACAGATATGACAGAATGGCATGCAATAAAGCAGAATATTTCTTTAATAAATTAAAAAAAAAAACGTACAAATGCGAGCTTCGCACTACCTAAAACATTTTAATACCAAGCCTGCAGACAGGTGGACCAGGCTAATTTACTTATTTGAATGTTTATGTTCATTGTTTTCAGATTATTTAAATGTCGTATAGGAGTTTATTATTACTAACTGAAGCGGAATTATTATTATATTATTTTTAATTTTAAGCTGAATTATTTTAATTATTTTGGAATTATTATTAATCACTTCTGTTTCGTTTGTAAACGTCACCCACTTTTTTACGTCATCAACGTATTTGCAAGCCTTTAAGTGTTGTTGATTGTTGCTCGCTCGGCAACTTTTTAGGGCCACGCCGCAATTTTCACTGTTCTACGAATGGGCAGGTCCGTCGGGTTAAATAACCCGGGGTCCACTTTATTAAGAAGTTTAAGTATTGAAATACAATCGTTTTAAAATTAAGTGCGACCAAAAAGTTTTAGTGACCACGCTTATTGCGCCATGGAATCGTGATATTGTTGCACTTTGTCGAACAAAACGCGTAAGCTACGCAAAATTCACGGCGCTGTTGAGCTTCTGGTAGCGAGAAAACTGCATGTTAAAAGCAATCAGATTGTTTTTAACTAGATTTTTTTAATAAGTTTGGTAAGATGACATAAATATTGTTTTAGCGCTGCAGCGGATATAAGCTTCAACTGAAACTAAAACGGAACAAGACTTATCTTCTAAATAGCTTCACTATTACATTCATCATCATCGTCATTATTTCAGCCTGTTTGAGTCCACTGCTGAACAAAGGCCTCCCCCACAGGCTGCCACGAAGCACGATCCTGAGCCACCTGCATCCATCGACTTTCCGGACACTGTTACATTATATTACTTTTTTTGCTTATGATTGCTTAGTTAGTGCATGTTCACCATAAACGTCCACTAAAATCTCTCAAAAATTATGACTAGCACAGTTGTAAAGTATATTAAAGTAACAGCCTATAAATGTCCCACTGCTTGCTGCAAAGGCCTTCTCTGTAAAGAGGGTATCAGGGCATAGTCCACCACGCGATCCCACTGCGGATTGGCGGACTTCACATATTTTCGAAATATTTATTATTATTTCGAAAATATGCAGGTTTCCTAAAATTTACTTTAAATTAACAATTTCATTGGTGCTGGCATCGGGGATCGAACTCAGGTTGCTCGAGTAAATGTAATTAAAGGCGAGCGCCCGGACACTGAGCTATCACGGCTGAAATGAGCACAGTTGTACTCATGTTAAAATAATGGAAGGAAAATTCCTGCAAAAACACTGCCCGGTATAAATTTTGACATTCGAGTTATAGTTGTCGAGTTAAAAAAATAATGGCGATTGCACATAATGACAGCTGTTTCCCAATAAATATTTTACTTACAGTACAAACCGAATACTGTACTATTAGCATCATCTTTTGTAAAACTATGCAAATTCATTCAACGCCTTAATAAAAATAATATTCTCTTAGTGTGACGGGGAGAGTTTAATAAAAAGTATACACGCAAAATGTCTTAAAATTTTCATTTATTATCCATATTCGACGCATTCAACAAAGCATTGTACAACGATCAGAAACGTCAAAAATTCTATAAAATTAATCATAAGTTCACAGTGTAAATAAATATTACAACATTTAAAGCATTTATAATTGATCGATAGTTTTGCAAACACTCATTATAAGGGCCTATTCACGGAATCTACCACCTTTAAAATGGCGTTGCACTGTACTGATCAATGCATTTTTACATAAATAGATGGACATTGTAATGAGATTTTATTTTGTCTGTTAACGAAGCTTCCTATTATAATTAGTATAGCAACGGATGTCGTTAACAGGCAAAATAAAATTTCGCCACTACATAATATACGACAACATCACTGCTCTAAAATAGCAAAATTATCGCTTATAATAATACTCTTACCGAAGTACAGTACTTAACAGAAGGCGAGAAAAGATATGTGACATTAAAACCCCCATATATTTTCTCCACTGTAAGAAAGAGATGATAAAATTCAATAGGTGATGTGATGTGATAAATACCTCGATGTAAGTGAAAACTAAAAACTGCAAAAACTGTGAATTGTTTTTTAATTTTAAAATTTATTGACACAAATAGATGTTCCGTGTGGGAATCGAACCAAAGACGAACGAATTATTTGTAGTATGAATATATAAAATTTCAAATCACTTATTTAAATTAAAAGTCAAGTTTTCTGACTAGGAAGTTAACTTTTTTGTAGAGTTTAGCGCTACAAAAAATACTATCGAACAATTACATATTCGTTTCACAGAGATTATAATTATCGAAAACCAAGTGATATCAAAATTTTAACTTCAATGACAATACATGTCACATTAGCAGATCGGTGACGCCAATGAAAATCATCCTCAAGCAAGCGCAATGTTTAAAAAAAAAAAAAGAATTAAGAACAATTTAGAACCTCTTAATTTTGAGGTCGGTTGAAAATGGCGCCATCTAAGATTGCGAAACACATGACAAATTCAAAGAGGACTAAACGATATAGCTTTAGAAAACCCGGCTTTACAAATTTATTTATTTATTTATTTATCTCCAACAAAGTACACATCGTAACAGAATAAATAAACAAGGTTTACAAAAATTATGAGTGGTACCTTAATTATAGGTAAAAACTTTTTAACAGATAGTAGAGTCAACAGATAAATGAGTAACAGATTAATATTACAACAAGCTGTTATTTGATACAGTACAGCCGCCAGCTTATATAGGAACTTCATTTAGGAATAAGAAACATTAAAAATATAAGTGTTTAGTAAAGTACATAATAGATCGGTGATTGAATGGTTCTTGATTAAGAATCGTGTGCGTAAAATTTTCTGTGTATAGAAATGTAAAGTTTAGGTTCTCATTCAAGACTATCTTTGCGTTATGGATATACCAAAGTGAATAGGCCCTTATTAGCTATAAATATATCTATATAAAACACCTCTAACGAATATCTATACGTTTATAATATAAGTACACGTTATTAATAGATTAATATTCATACAAACATCAAATTTAAGACAATTAGATTGAAATATATTGGTACACTCAGGCTTTAGAAGGGATTAGTAAATAGTATTATCAGATAGAAGGACGAACGATACGAATTTCCAAAGTACATACGATCTGAACACTAATGATACTTTTTGAAAAATGACCGAAGCGAATACACATTTGTAATTGAAATATTATTCATTTGGTAAAATGTCAACTCTTACAGATTAGTATTCATATTCGCATGGTTCAAGTATCACTTAATAATATTATTTTCATCATTTTGTTATGATACACTGAATTTCTTTCAATATTTATCACTAAAAAAAAATATGAGTTTTCGTGTGTGGGAGCCTAAAATCATAAGGAGTTTTCTTACGTACTTAGTACTCGAACGCCCCCTATATATTTGTATTGTATACGCTAATTCATGGTTAACTGCTCCGTTCCATTTATTTGACAAAATATTTTTTGAATTACATCAAATTTCCAAAAGTATCAATGGTGCCTATTTCATTATCAGAAGAATCGGATCGCATTACACTGGTCTATGAACTAATTAAAGCAAAGGACGTCTTATTGTCGTTCATTTTACAACTGTCACCTAAAAATGCTTACTAATTACGACGTAATTTCAACGAATTAAGCTAATATAGACACCCAGGTCTTGGTTAAATACACAGAATACAACATATCTACAATGTTAATACATTTCTAGAAAATAGTAGACAAATTCTAACATCAAAAAAACCTGTTTGATTAATGTCAATAAATCAATATGTATACACCAAACTTTCTAGTTCTTTGAGAACTCCGAACAAAGTAAATTTTTAATGTTTTCGAAATACCTCTTTTGTATAACCACTCTTTAAAGGTGTAATTTTGTACGTTATTAAATAAAGCAAAAATTTAGGGAACACTAAAATAATATTACAAATAATTGATATGGCATTTCTTGATAGATACTTTTTATAAATTCGGAATAGGAATTCGAAAGATACGGAATCAATATGAAATTTAAAACGATCGGCTAAAAATAGAGATTATTTTGGCTTTTAAGAATAATTTGCTTATTTTCTGTGTACAGATTATGCTGTTGTTCTATTTTATTTTTCCTTATTTAACCATAGGAGGAAATATTATTGACTGAAAGTTTTTTTGAATAAATAACAGACACATTTAGATAAGTATATTGGCATTATAACAGTCTATGCTTGTTTAATTTGATATATAAGCAAATTATTCTCTTGCTGTATTTAACGACAAAAAGCGATACACTTTCTAAAAATATTAGGTTAATAGATATAATTTCGTTGGTACAAACCTGAAACTTATACGTTATTATTAAAAGTGATGTAGTGAATGATAAACCATACGATAAAATGCGAAATGCAATATTTTCTCTCCTTCATCCACACGAAACATTTATACAAAAAAATGTGAAATTTCGTGATATGATATATTCGCTCAATGGCTTAAGCGACACAACCCGCCCAGGAATTACGGAAGCTGATTGAGTTCCCACAATATAATACCAAACAATCATATGAACCCTAACCTAAAATGGAAGACAAACGCCTACTTAACATTAAAATGATGTTAACATTATCACAAACATAGAAGCGAGTGCGCCGAATACCATTTGCCTGTTGATATGAATTCTCACATTTTGCTCGCATGTACTTGGCGTGCATGCGTAAAGCAAATCAAAGTCACAACCACGTTCTGTTTAAAAACCATTACATTTTATCTATAATACAAATATAACGGCATGTATTCAAACACAGAAGGAAAATTGTGATATTTTGTGCGTACATTAACGATATTACATGAATTACAGTAAAATGCAATACAACTATCTATGCGAATGACGAAGATTTAATGAATCTTTTTGTATCCCAAAAATATTTGTGTGACGTAATATAGCGATGTCGAAAAAGTCAATCACTGACGTTAGCTTATAGAACAAAAATATAAATAAGTTTAAATGCTTTTCACGATATAAATATCATGATTTGAACAGGTCTTAAATGTAAATATTATTCTTTAACATTGTAAATAGCTTCTAGCAAATATAGATATGGTAAAATTAGTGACGGATTTTTGTCCGAAACACCTCCAAATTGTATAATCGTTAACGTAATATATATAGTTATTATTTGCTGTCACTTGTAATAAATAAGAGCGTAAACGTACACAAAAAGTACACAGACTAATATGAAAAAAGTTAACTAAAAAGAAGACAAAACGAATACATAATTCAATTTAAAGATTTGGTGTTAAATTACGGTCTTAAATGTAATTTGTAAATAACCACAGAAGATTCAAGGAACCAGTATCCATAGTTTAAAACAATCAAATCTACTTACCTTTCTAAAGTACTAGGTACTAATAATACTTATAAAACATTGGTACAATTGAAAATGTTGCCAATTCTCTGGCCCGTCGTATTTTAGACGTCATCTTGACATGACAGCTGTTTATAGGACGCCATCTTCGTTGATCGAAATAAGGTAGCTACGGATGACGATGATGAAGTAGAGGTTTTCGGCTGCAATGATAATATTATCATATCAATTCTTAAATTGGAAACAATTTAAATTTATTTATTTTTATGTTATAGTTAAATTTAAATGTCATGAATAGATTTTTTTCTCCTTTAATTATCTTCACTTAACCCTGAGTAATATAGACCATGTTTTATACAAATAAACTCAAGTCTTCAGACAGTTTAAATGGTTGTACAAAACAATGGAAGGAAGAGCTGAAAATTTTACTGTATATCTGTACTACCACATATTTTATACATTAAATAAATATTTATTTCATGTATAAAATATGTGTTATTACATGTTAAAACTTAACGGGTTAAGGTTGACCGATATCGAAATTAGTAAATCAGGATTGATGGGAGTTGTGGTAGTGCATGCAGTAGAGAATCAGTTATACCTGATACGAATAGAATTTCTATTCCCTAATCATAAGTCAAGTAGGTAGTTACCAAAAGTGTACTAAAGTGTGGATTAGCTATTTTCTTTCAATCTTGTTTGCGGAAGGTTACTGGGATGATCCCCTTTATTTATTATATATAAAAAAAGCAAAGCACAGTAACAGCCTATATGTGTCCCAGCACTGGCCAAAGGCCTCGTCAATACAGAGGGTATTAGGCATTTGGATGTTCGAAATATTTTTATGTTATTATTTTGAAAATATGTAGGTTTTCTCACGATGTTATTCTTCACCGCTGAGCACCTGATAAGTTAGCACTTAAATTATCAATTTAATTGGTGCCGGCACCGGTTAAAACCCAGGTTGCTCGAGCATATTGAATAAAAAGCGAGTGATTAAAGTGTATTGGAAATAAATAAAAGTTTAAAACAATAATTTAACTAAACCATGTTCTTTTTAGAAATTTAGATGCTTGTAGTGCTAATCTCTGCACTTATGATTAAACATTAAAATTTTTAGAAAAAGTACGAAAAGATCTAAAAAGCAAAGAAATTTGAATTTATATAAAGCAATGGCAACATCTCTCGTTCAAATTATCGTTGTAAAACGATATTCGAAATTGTTTGTATGCTGGAAAGGATACAACTCTAAATCAAGCTTCAAATGCTAAAAAAAAGAATGTAGATAAAACACGTTAAGATTTTCGTCGGTATGGCAATCAGCCGTTTAGCTTAGTGGCTAAAGCGTCAGGCCGCGAATGCCGAAGACGTGGGTTCGATTCCCACAGCGGCGACAATGTTTTCGTACTTTTTCTACAAATTTCAAAGCATGTGCTCTTCATAAGTAGAATTTCAAGATTTTTTTAAAATTATTTTGTCACACAAAACTAAGCTTAAGAAATTGTAGTTGGAAATCTCACACTAGATAAAACAAAATAGGTTTTATTCAAGCTAGTTATGTGAATGCCACCAGCGCCAAGTACTAACGAGAATCGTTAATTTTCCTTTGTTAACTCTCACCCAGAAACAGGATCTGAGCAATCACGTGTCCAGCGGTCATGTGGAACAGGGTCTTCAGGAAGCCGATGATGAAGAGCATCAGGAACACTATCCAGAAGATGCAGTACTTTTTCATAATGCCGCATTTCTCCTGCAAAGTTATGGGAAAAAAATTACTGACAGGTTATCTGTATTAAGGTTATCTGTAGTTATTAAACTGTTTGATTATGTAATGTATTTCTCAGTAGTGTTAGTACAGATTTTTTTATGTAATGGAACTGATAGATTTTTAAGAAATCATTGGATGCACGTTATAGAAATGACGCTTTATAGTGTTTACGCGACACATGCACACACTGATTTACGGTGTTGGTCCGGAATCTTGGAGCAGAACCGTCAAGAAACTCTGCGGCCTTGTTATATCTCTTTTTCCTTGGCATACAATTTCACAAACTTAATTAGGTATAAAATCAGCAGTAGCCGCAAGGCCCTCAAGTGCAGAGCAAGAGTCATTTCCTCACTTCCTTGTCCTCAATGTATTCTTGGACATTATAATAGGCCCTTGCCATTAGGATAGCTTTTACAAAATCGAATTTTACAAAATTGTTTCTACTTATTTGTTTGTGAATGTCATCTATTTTATTATAACTTAACTTGTCACCACTTTAAAACCCTTACTGTGGCCCGCTCACTTAGCACGTCGTTTCAATCACAAAAGGGTGGTAGGGCCACGCAGCAGCCTCGGCTGTTGCACGAACGGGTAGGCTCGTCCGGGTAAGTACCACGCCCTCACAGAAGACTGACGTAAAGTGGAAGTATAATACTTTCGCGTTTCGTCTGGTGAGTGAGGTGGCCGGGGCCCAATTTTCGAAAGGTCGTCAACGCATTTGCAACCCTCGGGTGTAGCAGATGTCCATGGGCGGCGGTATTCACTTAACATCAGGTGAACGGTCTTCTCGCTTGACAACTTTTCGCATTAAAAAAGGTTCCCCATCTCACCCTGTACACGGCGTAGACGAAGACCAGGTCGAGGAGGAACTTGATGAACAGTAGAATCACCACCAGCACCACGATCGTGTAGACGACCGAGGACATGGCGGCCTCTCCGTCCTCGCGTCTCTGCATCGCTTCCGAAGCATCCTTGATGTCCACGGCGAACGTAATCAGGAGCACAGCGAGGAGGAACGTAACAATCTATACAGATAAATAAAATTGGAGTGTCTGTTTGTAATATTAAAATAACCGCTTTTTACTGAATACATATGAATGTATACACGGTACATATACCAAAATAACATTTTTTACAATTTTTGTCTGTCTGTTTGTACAGGCTAATCTCTGAAACTTCACTGGCAGACTGACTTTCACTGGCAGATATCTGATGTAATAAGGAGTAACTTAAGCTATTTTTATTTTAGATTTTTTTATTTTATATTCCACGCGGACGAAGTCGCAGGCACAGCTAGTCTACAATATAAAAGTAAAGTATAGTAACAGCCTATACATGCTCCTCTGAGCAAAGGCCTCCTCCGTACAGAGGGTATCAGGGCATAGTCCATGCAGCCCCACTGCGGATTGGCGGATTTCACATATCTTTGAAATATATGTTGATATTATTTCGATATTATGCAGGTTTCCTCACGATGTTTTCCTTAAAATATCCTTTCTAAAATATTTAAAACGCATCACCAATCTCTCACACACTGTAGATGATCATGTGATAATATTGTTTTATCATTTTTAAATTAATCGCCGAAACCAGCAATCTCGCCCACAGCCAGGCTATGTTTTGTTATAAAAGACTTGTTTATTCGTATAAACTTTATTAATGACAATAATTTAGACAATTATATTACAGGTTAGAGCCAGGTGAAAATGTCTGTTCAGGAATTAATGTAAGCTCGACATTCGTTATAAATATGTCATGATTATTTGATTATTATAAGGCACTGATACAATTGTTTTTACAGACTCATAAAATAACGCCATAAGCACTTGTATATCTATATACCTATAATTTATTAATATATATATTAGTTTTTTCTTGTTACCACTTCAGTGTACACCCTCGCGTTTTAGCAATAAGGCCTCTTGTACAGAATTGAGTTCTTTTTTTGATTATACAATATCAGTTGTAGTGTACAATAAAAAGAGAAACACGTATCCACCCAGGTAACCTTGCATTATAGCATTGTCACGTTACCATTGACTAAATATGCTTTATAGATAGCACTTACTGAATTTAAAATGCCCATCGTGATCCCTCCCGTCCTCAGATGGAAGACGAAGCAAAACTTGTCCAATACCGGCAGCTCCATTCTCGCCTGAAAAGACATTTAAAAAAATAACATAAACCAATAGTAATAGAAATAAATGGATACACGTATACAAATTTAACCCCATATTTCACTTGATAGTTGCAATTTTAAAAAAGTTATTCCAATTATAATAATTAGTAAATTCTGTATTTCTAATCATTCAAATAAGTAATGAAAAGTATACCAGAATTCTATATTTAAATATTACTTTACCAGCTAAGTTAAAATACTAAGTTGCAAACTATACAAACAATAAATATGATAATTTTTGTAAAATTGGCAACAAAAACTGATTAACTTCATTGACGAATGGTTTTAATTTGCTAACTTTACAATTAGGTCTTTATTATCGTGCCTGGCCAGATGTCAAGTGTGCTTTACTTTAAATGCCACGAAAATGTTCACTTCCACAATGAGTGGAGGTTTTCTGGGAGCTTGCCAAATCGTAGTTACACTCAACAAGTCTCTACAATTTCATTCGAACTAATGAATAATTAAAAGCAAATCAACAATTCACATATAGAAGCAGAATTGAACAATAGACGAGAGGATTAAGCGGGTCAGGAATAACGCGAACTATTTCAAATTATACGTACCATTTCGGAAATATTCGTAAAGCCGCTGTTCCGTCGAGAGAGCTGACCGCTGAATCACAAGGGGACAACTACGCGGGACATCTTAATAGTTCCAAAGGTACATTGTAACGAGGACTTCACTTTGTAAGGGCAAGTTTGATTGAAGTCAGAGAGATAGTTAAGGGGACGCGATCGCTCGACGGTACAAAAAAAAAAACGCAATTAAATGTTCGTAACGAAATGGTACTGATTTGTCTTCAGAAATATTTCATTAAGCCTTTTCGAAATAATAATAATCTTTCATAAAATCTAAAATCTAGATATTTTTCAAACATGAAGATTTCTAGAGAGCTGGTTCTTTTCTCGCTCAAAGTGTAGCATAACTATTCAGCGAGGAAATGCAGCTAGCGTTCTTGGCCACATGCCGCGTAGTTTAGGATTATTAGATAATATGTTAATTTAGATGGATTTAATCTTAATTTTTTTTCCTTTTTTTTATATAAAAATATAATTATTATAAAAAAAGGAAATTAAAATTAAGATATAAAATCATTACTTAACATTGTTAAAGGGATTTCGAAGAACATATGACTGTTCGTAATCGTCCAGTTAGGATATATTTTAGGAATATTTGATTCAGCTGTCGTTTTAACGATTGAGAAGGGTGGCGGTGAGCTGCCCCTTAATAGAGGAGGCTGCAATGGCCTTGCGCAGAAAGGCTGTGCTGCCCCGATCGATAGCATTCGGGACCCTACCCTCGGCGGGACTATCAAGTACATTCCAGCACCCATCCCTATACGTACGATGCCATGACCTAGTAACATGATCACTGTATAAATTGCGATCAGCCATATAGCTCCAATACTAGTATCCCTTAGTAATGATATTTCAATTTGAAACTCTTATAACCACTATTGAAAGGATGAAGGTTGAAATGTTATTGTATACGATTAAGTGTATGCTATGTATCACACTTTAAACTAAATATAAAAATTGAAACGGAGATTCCAGCGGCTGCAGCAGCTACTTTGATCATTATATATCATTAAATAGACAGAATATTTCAAGACCGCTTTCTTCATAACTATATTGTCGAAACTATATATTTAACTGTTCTTAACTGTATCATGCTATCCTTAAATAAGGCCTTCACGGCCTTTATGTGCGATTTACGTAACTGAATGGATGTTTAAGACAAACACATGGAGTAATATATTATTTCTCGGTGACAGGCGTAACAGTTATGGTACTGTTACGTTCCCGAGTCGGTTCTTGGTAAGAAGCCATCGAAGCCAGTGAGCCGCCTGCTCGCTTGGCCACTTTTTATGTGAAAAGTTGCCAAGCGAGCCGGCGGTTCACCTGATGTTAAGTGAATACCGCCGCCCATGGACAGCTACTACACCCGAGGGTTACAGACGCGTTGACAACCCTTTGAAAATTGGGCACCGGACGAAACGCCAAAGTATTTGTCATACATCCACTTTACGCCGGTCTTCTGTGAGGTCATGGTACTTACCCGGACGAGCCTGCCCATTCGTGCAACAGCCGAGGCTGCTGCGTGGCCCTACCACAGTTAACTACTAACTATGAAGCTAATAGAATAAGGCTGGGCTGTGATGAAGGTTCAAGGGGTGCTCCAAGTGTAGAGATCAAATGTTTAAAATCTTTTTTAACTTTTTAAAAGTTAGTAGTTATCTTTGCAATCACCTTAGATATCGCCAACATTGCTAGGAATGCAATTAAAAAAACAGTAGGAACGATTTTGGGATTTTCGCCCGATGGTAGGATGTTGACTGCTTAATGGCTAGAGCGTCAGGACACGTAATCGAAATGGCGCAGGCTCGACTCCTAGCAGCGGGGAAAAATTCTGCGAGAGTTTTAAGCACAATATAGGGAGTTATAAATATATACAGGTACAATATAAAGAGTTGTTGACAACTCTTTGTATTGTTAAAATGTTTAAATAAAACGAATATCGTAGAAAACCATACTTATTTATTTATTAAAGCCGTTATAAAAAATGTGTCACTTATTTAATCTCCTAAATACACGTCAAAGCTGAATTTTTTATAATACATTATGACAATTTTGTCTAGTTTTTTAGTGTATAAAATATGGTACATACAATGGTATGTATGTAAAATGTATATAAAATATGGTACATAAGGTACATACTCGTTTAATACAAGGGCTATAAAATGTGCAAGCGTTAACTTTCAGAAGATGATTACATATTAAGAGTTCTTTTAACATGTCCGCTATTCGATTATTTAGACATTCATTTTTTAGACTAAAATCATCAAGTAAATATATTTTTAACGCTTGTTAACTTGTTTAAAATGGTCCCTAAAGCTACTTAATATATGACTAGATGTGTTTTATCACTTATTCTATGTTTAAAAAAAAGCCATACGAAAGGTTTGACATACGTTCCCGATATACATTACCGGCTCGTATAATTAACGAAATTAGTTAAGACAATTATTATAGCATCAAGAAGAAATTAGTTATAAATAATTTAAGTATTTAAATTTAAGAATGGTCCTGTTTGAAGGCTCTATTATAAACAAGCTCGTAGAGTTTGCAGCATTTTTTAAATTTAATAAATTCTAAGTCAGTAAAACTTATAGCAAAAACATCAACCATAAAGGCAAAGACATCGTATGATATAAGTTACGTAGCCACTGTTTTTAGTACAAAAGAAAATTTTAGATACAGCAAAAACTGTGATCAGTCTAACCAAATAACGATAACAATACTGATCCAAATAATGGTCTATTTGTTTTCCTAAACATATTGTCGTTTAAAATTCGTTTTCAAACAAGTTGTTATCTAACAAGCGGATAAAATAGTTCTGCATATTACAAGCGGCTTCAGCAATATTTTAATTGCTGTTACCAATTATGTTTTTGTTTACTATTTTGACCACTATTTTACTTTCCTTATAAAACACTAATCGCAGTCTTTGATTTGTCATGAGTTCTCCTTGTACGGGGTTTAACTATAAAGTGTAAATGTGCATTTAAAAATAGTATGTGTCAAACAAAACAGTGTTTAAGAAATTGATTGTCCCAAAATTCTCGGTGACTTAGCTTAAACGGGACGATACCATTATTTGAATTTTCTTGCAAGTTATTATATGGATTATATGGACTTTATGACTAAGTATTATCATTTCATAGGATAAATAAAGCGTAAACTTAATGTATATTCTGAATATTTGTATTAACTAGTGGTCGAAATTCGTTACCATAATTAATTATGCATGGTAGTGTGTTTTTTTTAATGATTTAATGTATTTTTTTTTGCATAATTAAAAAAAATATTAGCATTATGCACTCCTTCTCTATAGTTCATATAAGTGTGAGAAATTTCATACCCCTCGGACGGCGCAATTTACAAGGGGTACAAAGTTTTAGCTTCAAGTATTATTTATAGTAATAAAAGATTCCTTATTCCGATAGTTCACATAGGCAGTGCGGTTTCGCTATACGACATTTTCATTTTCCTGTACACGCTGTTCACGACGGTCAAGTAGTAAAGGGAGTAAGCTGAAAACAAAAGTTTATTGTTAATTGTACCTTTCGCGCTCACTTGAAATCTTAGCTTCTAATAAATACTCGGTGGCGCCGTTGCTATTGGCTTCGCGTCGGGGGTCGTGGGTTCGATTCCAACACGGGACAAGAATTTGTGTGACCCACAGATGTTTGTTCCCGATCTAGGTGTTTGTTTCCCAAGGAGGGTTGACGTCAGGCAGGCGGCTGGTCGTAGAAAACATAACCAAAACCGCTTAAGACATGATAAACATGTTGTGTCGACCCCACCTAGGTGGGATAAGGGCAAAAGGAGGATGATGAAGATGAATAAAGTTCAACTTGACGGCGTTCCATTGTATTAAATAGTTAATTATTAATTATTACACGTGAATTTTTGTTAGACTGAACGTGATGCCAGTATAGGTTTGGCGAGGTTTCTAGAGACATAATAATTATGTTTCGCTATATCGTCTATATCATCTTGTCAGACTGCAACAGCCCCGAATGATTTGGTGTATATGGTTCATTAAAAATTACCACAGCTTTTAGACAATGCAATGTAAACGATACTACGGATTTTGCAAACGACCATCGGCAGTGCTCACTTAACATCAGGTGATCTTTTCTTCTGGTGAATATTTTAAAGTGGCTCGCTTAAAATATTCTTACATAGAAATATCTGTGGGAGAGCCGTTCTGCGGGTTCTGCTGTCGAGCGAATAAGATGGCTCTACCTAGAGAGTGAGACAGAAGAACTTACAGAAGATAGAGCATAAAGAAGAAGTATGCACATTAAAATGTTTCGTTCGGTGAGTGTGGTGACCAGAGCCCATGCGTAAGGAGAGCCCGTAACGAAATCATACACAAATACGATTACAAATAGCCTTGGATAGTGGTATTCAATAAACCATTAGGTAAACCCCTTGCCTTTCACCTTCTCTTATAACGAATATGATATTCTCCCCTTGTCTTCTTCTCTTATATTAAGCAATATGACATTTTCCCTTTCAAGTGTTGGGAACGCGGGATTCTCACTGCCAAAATCCTGGCACAGTTTACCGTCTCAAAGTCAAAGTCAAGTCAAAGTCAAAGTATATTTTTTCAATATAGGCTTAACTTAAGCTCTTATTGAACGTCAACAAAAAATCTACCACCCGTTCACTAAACTAGACCTGCGCACAGAAGAACCGTCAAGAAACTCTGCGGTCTTGTTCTTTTTGTTATTATTTTTTTTTTGGATGCAATTATACAAGGTCTGGCGACCCTTAGTAGTGTTCAATAATTAGATGCCGTACCAGCTCCAGCGAAGAACGAGACGACTATTAGGGCAACGTTTCCCGCGTTGTCGAGGTAGGGCTTGAGCTCGTTGCTGAACAGGCATGTGACCACCGCCACCAGGAATATGCACAGGATGAACACCGAGTTGAACAGCAACGACAGCTGCAGACAGCCCGGCCGCCTCTGAAACGATGATCGGGAAGAAATAAGCATGAAAATGGATAACAGAAACAGATTAAAGAATTCCAAAAGGGTTTTTTATGTTAAAAAAATTTTAACGGTGGTAGAGCCAAGCAGCAGTCTCGGCTGTTGCACGAATGGACGAGCTCGTCCGGGTAAGTACCACTACCTCCCAGAAGACCAGCGTAAAGTGGAAGTATAATACTCTCGCGTTTCGTCTGGTGAGTGATGTGGCCGGAGCCCAATTTTCAAAAGGTTGTCAACGCATCTGCAAACCCTTGGGTGTAGCAGATGTCCAAGGGCGGAGGTATTCACTTAACATCAGGTGAACCATCTGCTCGCTAGGCAACTTTCACATAAAAAAAATCCTTTGTAAAAATGATTACTAGATAGACAGATATGTCTTGTGGATGGTTTCACAAACTAATATGGATGTTTGTGGTTCGCGTATTTTATCCAGTGTGAGACTCTGACCCGCAATTGTAGATTGATTCTATATAGTAGTATATGAACTTGTTATTCAAAATTCGATCTCGCATTGAATTTTTCGTTTATATAATTAATATCGTCATTTTTTTTATATCTAAGTGATATATTTAGATTAGAAACAATAGATATAAACGCCTATTTACATTATAAATTGAAACTATTTCAATAACTCATTTTACGATATTTTTCGCACAAGACATGCAAAAATACCTTTCTTAATTTATTTCTGGGTTCATTAATACAGAATGACCACAGCATTAAATTGTCAAATCCACTGAGAGTGAAAACTTTAATCCAGGATCCAAGGGGACTGTATTTTACATAATCTTTTACGTATAAATTTAAAAAAAAATATTAAAACGTATTCCTGACCTTAAAGCCATAACTAAGTCTAAAATGTGTCCGCAAATATATATATATTTTTAATATTAAATAAAAAATCGAATTTTCGTATTAATTAGTATTCATAGTAACTCTTTTTAACGAAAAGGTACGCATTAATAGCTAGACTTCTGCAGACTGTCTTGACGTCTACAAATAGCGATGGGTGAGTCACCCGTTAGGATGTCAGAATGAACTAAAAGGCCACGTGTGAGTGAATCTAGTAGACATTTTTGCCACGATATCGTAGCATGTTGTGTATCGTTGCATAGTTTTGGCTGACAGTATGTAATTGTTTATCTTATTGAACTTTATTGTGATGTGTATATTACTGTTTGCCGTTTTGTGTACCGAATAAAATAAAATAAAATAAGATACACGTGGCCCCTTCATTCTTTCGCGGCATTTTTTTTCTCATTTGATAGGAATACGCCTGCCTTATACAAAAAATAGTAAAACAGTAAGCCGTGTTAGCTCAGTGCCCGGCCGCTCGCCTTTACTTTAATATACTTGAGCAACTTAAGTTCGATCCCCGGTGCCGGCATCAATGAAATTGTTTATTTCAAATGCTGAATTATCACGTACTCAGTGATGAAGTAAAAACATCGTGAGGAAACCTGCATATTTTCTAAATAATAATAAAATGAAAATACATTTCGAAAATGTGTGAAGTCCGGCAATCCGGGCCGCGTGGTGGACTATGTCCTGATGTCCTCTGTACAGAGGAGACCTTCGCCCAGCAGTGGAAGATGTATAGGCTGATACTTTACATTTTTATACCAAATATGGAACAGAGGATACAATATACAGTCTGTTGTATTTCGTGCGTATGTTGAAATAAATAAAAACATCTTTTCGTCTTTGTACATTTCTATGTATCTATATTGCAAATTTATTGATATTCTCGTAGTTAATAATATTAATATTTAACATGTTCGATCCTCGATCGTGTATTCCTCCATCCTTTTTAAGTTCTTTTTAGGGGTCCGTACCCAAAGGGTAAGACGGGACCCTATTACTAAGACTCCGCTATTTTTTTGTCTGTCTACTGTTACTTGTTACTTGTGTCGAGGAAGAGGACTTAGACACGCCGGACCCACTGCCGGGGGTCCTGCCGGATAACACTATACCCATAGTTAGTGCAACAGCAAACACACTAGTTCGCCCTCGCCTCCGAGCACGGCGAGACCAACACAACGCGTACACAAGGTACACCCGCGTTCCGGGGCGGTTCTCACCGCCCCCAGCCACCGATTAGCTAATTGCACAGTCGAAGGCCATCGGGGTTTCGGTCCGAACCACGACCTCGATGGCCCTTAGATGACACACCATAGTTAAACTCACGCATGAGCCCATGCGCGACCCTACCCATAGCGGAGGGCCCAGGGCTAGCCAGAACCCGTGGGTTCTGGCTAGCCCACCGGTTCTGCGTCAGATGAAGCTTTTATAGTCTCGGGACTGAAAGCAAAAACATCAGTTAATACAAGATACAAGAAGTTACTTGTGTACTCTCTCTTCTGTTAACAGGCTGTATCTCATGAACCGTGATAGTTAAACAGTTGAAATTTTCACAGATGATGTATTTCTGTTACCGCCATAATAACAAATACTGAAAAATATACTCCCATATAACATGATATTTTTGCCATTTTTATAGATAATGGTACCGAACTCTTCATGCGCGACTCCGATTCGCACTTGGCCTGTTTTATATATGGCAAGGGAACTACAGTATTAAGCAACAGACTATACGTTGCTTTCAAATGAAACTTTGGTCTAATGAGCGATTAAAACTTTGCTTAAGGTCTGCGCAACAACTAAATTAAATCATGTAGTTAAATACAACCACTTAACATACATTTTAATACGCCATTAAACATTTATGACGCAATTAAAAGATGTAAATAATGGTGCCGCATAATTAGTTACTACCGTATTCGTTAAACAATTGAGCGAGTACAGTTAAAAGAACGACATAATTATAAATTATTATAAGAAAGGCTATAAACTCCTTTGCACTTGGCGCGTTTAGCTCCATTTTGTGTGTATGATAATTCCGCCATCTTTTGTTTTCCATGTCTATAGAGCAATAGCCTAGTGTTCGGTAATTGCTCGCTGAGGTCACAAATTCCGTTTTTGTTTTAACTTTTGTGCGATCACTCACGGGTAATTAGTGACATCTCACATGACAATTGGCGAATTTTACGCGTGAATTCTCCTGTTTCAGGTATTGGTGGGTCGGTGGCGAAACGATTTTCCATAAAACGTAACACAAATTTCAAACCATACTTACATACTGTACAGCTTATATATAAAATAAATTAATCTTCTCGACTTCCGCTGCATGGATATGTATGAGTTTCAAATTTTTTTTCGTGTCGGTTTTCGAAAGCGTCATAGATGAACTATGTCATATTTTTTAATTTTACGGTGGTAGGGCCACGCAGCAGCCTCGGCTGCACGAATGGGCAGACCCGTCCGGGTAAGTACCGCGACCTCACAGAAGACCGGCGTTTAATTTGTAGGAGGTCGTAGGTCGAGGGAGGGAGAGTCAGAGTCACGCTTGGGATTAGGATAGGGGAAAGAAGAAGAAATGGAGTGAACTCACGAACGCAATACCACACAACGCCACCGCATTGCTGATGACGGACAGGGTGGAAAACATCACCATGGTCATGGAGATGAGGTTGTCCTCCTGTTCTCTATCTCGATGACGCGGCAGGTTCCACACACCCGCCACTATGTAAGCTATGCAGGACATCTGAAACGGCATTATAATAAATAAATATATAACAAACATTTTGACACGTGACAATATAAGCGATAAACATACTTTTCTTTTGTAAATAAATACATAAACACCCGGACTGGAAAAAAACTCTATAAGCATTACAGAATATTTTTCCAGTAGTGGGGATCGAACCCACACCCTCTGGCGCAAGAGGCAGGGTCACTATCCATTAGGCCAATCGGTTAGTCGTAATACTTGATATAAGCGAGGTGGAATAGATAAATATATAAAGAGGCTAAAAAAACGGTTTGATAACTCATACTAAAATTCGTGAGTTCTAAAAATAAACAAACCGTTTTTCCGAATTAGAAAAACGAAATGTAAGTATATTTTACTTAATTGCTATTATTATTTGGATTAAGTTTTGTATTTAGATCAGGTTCCGATTCTTAACTTTATCTGTGTAGGCGTATTCCTTTAAAAAATCAATTTAGGAAATGTATACGAAAAATAGAAAGAAAAATTTTTTTATACGAATTAAAATTAACAAAGTCATATTTTTATTATTTTATTATGACAGTTTTTATTAAATGTATCATTCAGTTTGTGAACCAAATAAAAAAACTCGAAAGATAAGAAACAAATAATAAATTATGATAGGATCTTTTATCGCTAAAGGGTTAGGTAAACGAATAACCGTCCCTGTAACTCCCTAAAAGTGACAAGTGACAGGCATGTCGCTCTAATGCGGGTGTAAATGTGAAACGGCGGTAGCCATTTTAAAATTGGAAAAACTGCTCACAACATTGGTTTTCGAAATCGCCACCGGTTCGTGAGTCGATGGGCAAGGCCAAGTAGAAATTAAATGAAATGGCTATATGTAATTTAATTTTTTATAGAGCTAATTTCTGCGCGTGAGATGAAATTTTAAAGTTTGTGAAAAAAAATGGAGGAAATTTTACATTTCAACAATTATAGTTCGTCGACGTATTAAGTAGGATTAATGAGTAAGAGTTTAACTAGCTAGTTAACAAAGTTCGGGTTTGAATAGTAAAAAAAAGAACTCCAGTTAAGAAAATTATTTAGACGTGAGCAGATGCTGACCGAAGTGTCCATCTGAACATTACCAGAGGCAATGGCTCTAGCGATTATTGTTTCTATATTCATAGAATGGTTTTACAAAAAAAACAACCGGTAGTTTTTATTCCACAAGAGTTTATCGAGTAGATTATTAGCAAACGTTAATGACACTTAAGCGAGCCCGCTAGGTCCCAAAAGTGACAGATATAGGTAGAATAGGTACGCAGTAGAACACCAATCATTTACTGTGGCAGGACCACGTGAAACTACTGTTGCAAGAATGGGCAGGCTGGGAATATCGGCTATGAATGTAATATGAGAAAGTAAGTATATTTTACTTAATTGCTATTATTATTTGGATTAAGTTTTGTATTTAGATCAGGTTCCGATTCTTAACTTTATCTGTGTAGGCGTATTCCTTTAAAAAATCAATTTAGGAAATGTACACGAAAAATAGAAAGAAAAATTTTTTTATACGAATTAAAATTAACAAAGTCATATTTTTATTATTTTATTAAGACAGTTTTTATTATATGTATCATTCAGTTTGTGAACCAAATAAAAAAAATATATAAAAAAATATAGCGCCGTCTTGTTATGTTTTAGAAATGTCTGCCATGGGATGGCAGCTACTAGTGGTAACTCAAAAAATTGTGAGATGGCGCTATATGTCTTTATCCTAATACACAAGTTAATATTACCGAGTAGCGTCACTAAAATGAATCCAAAATACGACGAAACTCGGTCGAAAACTATAACAACTAATATTTAAGTTCATGGATTTAAATATTAGTTATAGTTTTTAGGCTTTCTGGTCTGATAAAAATATTAATGAGCGTTTCAAAAGCACGGTCTTCCGTGGCACCATGGCCTCCTAGACGAGCAAAAATGGCGGAACTCAGCCAAGGCAAAAAAAAAAATTAAATAAATAAATAATAAACATAATAATATAAATATTTCAGGGCACATTTTTACACAATGTTCTCTAGTCCCAAATTAGGGTAGTAACTGATAATAATATTTTTTTATAATTACTTTGTTAGATTTAAGCACTTAGAAACTGGTAAACTCCGAGTTCCCCACATTATATTTTTCTAATAGTGGGGATCGAACCCACACCCTCTGGTACAAGAGAAAGGTTCACTATCCACTATGCCAATCGTTTATATACATGTACTTACTGTCGAAATAATACAAAGGATAAGACAACCGCTCTCGAGGGGCAGACAACCGCAGCATCGCCGGAGCATAGGCAACGCCATCTTATGTCTGAAATAAAAAATGTCAAGTTAAATGAAGCCTTAAGGGAATATATACGTTATAATACATATAATATACACTGGGTCGCAAAACTAATGGGTCACATAGAAAAATCCTAAAACTTAGATCATTTTTGACCACATCTGTCCACCTGGTTATGGCTCGGTCTCTGGGTCCAGATCCTAGAATGTTCGAATTGGTCACTACCGTTCCGCGTGAAACAAAAAATTCACATTATTATATTTTTAATAAACCATAAAACATTTTAATAGACACGCTAATTTGCAGACTAAAGTGTTTGTAGTCTAATTAAGGCAGCGATTAAATTACACAATAATTAGGACCTAAAAATTGGTGTTCTAGAAAATAAAAAAAGGGCATTCTGTTTACACTCTAGGCGAGTGTAAACAGTATTAGTAAGAGTATTAGGCTATTAATTTCAGTCGGTAGTTGCCGTCTAGAACGATTGGTCCTGTTTAACATAGCATCATGGCACCATCGTTATAATATCAAAAATTTGACGTGGCTATTGACGCCGTAGCAGGGGTACATAATGGGAGAAATAAAGGAAGTTTATGTGACTCGTCACTGATAACACCGTCATCAGTAAGGGCCCTTATTGTCTATTTAAGGACTTGGGGTAGTCCCTTCAATCTTCGATAATTAGGGCCATAACTGCCTTACAGCGATTACACTTGTCCTTACTAAGGAACCTAAGTTAGAAAGGGCCCTCATTATAGTAAAGTTTAATCGATGATTAACTAGAGTTACTCCAGCTTACGCAGTGACACCGTGCCCGGATTTAATTTTGCTTATTCTTAAACAATTGTGCTATTTATAAAATTAGATTTTGTCTATTCATTATATAATAAAATAAACGATAAGTAACTTTGTTTCCATATACGAATAGGACCATATATGTGGATTAGATTCGCTTCTATTCGACCACACCATAACCGTTATTATACCGCGACATTCGCATATATTGCAATGAACTTCATTCCGCAGTCCATAAATCAATGTTATTACCCGTTACGCAGTGCCCCTACATTGATTCGGGCGAATTGTAACCGTAGCCCCCAGTTGTTAGAGTTGGTTGTCGCTCGTCGTGTGCCTAGTATGACATCAGCATGTTTAATATGAGTTTGTCTGTCGGTACGCGCCGAACAACTTGTCTCGCCGCCTGAAATAGCCCGTCGCGTTCACTGAAATACTCCGTTCGCATATTTCTGCTTTACGCAATGCCGTGGGAACTGGTTGATATTGTGCAGTTTGAATTCGCGTGAAGAATACTCAAATTACGCTTGGTGTTGGCTTTTTATTGGGACGATGGCAAACGAGTGGTTGATGATGTTAAGAGATTAACCTCGCTTACGGACTTCCATATTAGCATTGACCTTACACTTACTTTGCCCACCTATATGCTGGTGGGCCGATTACCTCAATCAGAAGGAATGCAAGAGTATTTTTTATAGGAACTGAGATGAACAGGCGGTTCACCTAATGTAAAGTGACCGCCACCCATGGGTATACAACGTGTGGGTAGCAGATGCGTTGCCAACGTCAACTGGGTCTCAATTGCCTTACTGTACGATGAAACGACAAATTTATATTTTTTTTTATCGTTAGTTTTAGTTATCTTCTTTCTACTGCTATCACCCCATCTAGTTAGACTCGCCATAGCGACGTCAACCCTCCTTGGAAGTAAAACAAATGAAGATATCCAACAGAATTATTTGCAAGACAGGAACTGAGGCTAGTCTTCTATGAGGCTATGGTAATTTTAAATTATCCGGAATAGCCAGCTCTTAAGCCACTGTGTAACTCTACCACAGTTTGAAAGATCTATCGTCTTGATATCGTCTCGCTTCCTCGGAAGAGCAAAGCAGGCAGATTCTGATGGAGGGCTCCACCACAAATGAAAACTCAAAATCTTTACCATGATCATTTTGTAATTTTCATATGTGATTATTAAGGTATTAAGACTTTTTAGTCTTACAGTCACTGGTGTCCGTCAGATGTTACCTCAAATCGTATGTTCGTGGAATATCATGAGTTGCAAACTTAAGTTAGACATAAAGAAAATATAAGTACACTAGGTAAAGATTCAGAATTAATCAATGCTGAATGGTACATGAAACCGAAAAAAATTGTTACAAAGACAATATTGTAGTATCTTAGGGATTCCCAACTTACAAAGATGTGGTAGACCTGTTAATAATAACAGGTAAATGACGTTAATTTTGTATGCTTAATTCGAACGCGAACGGCATATCTAAATGAAAATAGGATGGCGCCACAATTTCATCAATTCATACGTAGTATTGATTATTTAATAAGCAGAGGTCAACGCCCTCCAATGGGAAAGTGTATGGAATTACACGTGGTAATATAAAAACTCGAAAGATAAGAAACAAATAATAAATTATGATAGGATCTTTTATCCCTAAAGGGTTAGGTAAACGAATAACCGTCCCTGTAACTCCCTAAAAGTGACAAGTGACAGGCATGTCGCTCTAATGCGGGTGTAAATGTGAAACGGCGGTAGCCATTTTAAAATTGGAAAAACTGCTCACAAAATTGGTTTTTGAAATCGCCACCGGTTCGTGAGTCGATGGGCAAGGCCAAGTAGAAATTAAATGAAATTGCTACATGTAATTTAATTTTTTATAGAGCTAATTTCTGCGCGTGAGATGAAATTTTAAAGTTTGTGAAAAAAAATGGAGGAAATTTTACATTTCAACAATTATAGTTCGTCGACGTATTAAGTAGGATTAATGAGTAAGAGTTTAACTAGCTAGTTAACAAAGTTCGGGCTTGAATAGTTAAAAAAAGAACTCCAGTTAAGAAAATTAGTTAGACGTGAGCAGATGCTGACCGAAGTGTCCATCTGAACATTACCAGAGGCAATGGCTCTAGCGATTATTGTTTCTATATTCATAGAATGGTTTTACAAAAAAAAAACTACCGGTAGTTTTTATTCCACAAGAGTTTATCGAGTAGATTATTAGTAAACGTTAATGACACTTAAGCGGGCCCGCTAGGTCCCAAAAGTGACAGATATAGGTAGAATAGTTACGCAGTAGAACACCAATCATTTACTGTGGCAGGACCACGTGAAACTACTGTTGCAAGAATGGGCAGGCTGGGAATATCGGCTATGAATGTAATATGAGAAGATCGGCTTCTTTTGCCCTCTTTACAGAGTTTTTAAATGCCTCATAAGAGTTTAGAGCATTATACTTTCGCATTACGTCTTGTGACGGGGGCAGCCGGACCCCATTTTGTATTAATTGGAAAAGTATCTGCAACCCGTCAGGTGGTGTTGACATCAATGGGTGGTGTAGACAGTTTTTCATATTTTCTAAGGTTTCTAAACAATATTTTGCATTTATGTTAATACGTATTAGATACATTGTCATAAGCAAAAATCTGGCAATATATTTAAAATTAAAAGTTATGCTCTCTTTTTAAAAAAAAAGTGAAAATGAACTTAACTTTAAAAAAATTTCAGATGAACTGCCTGCTCGCTTAACAACTTTTGTTAAAGAAATCGTGATGCGAATTGATTCATTGATATCCCCTCGGATAGTATGAAATATCTCTTAATAGATAGTTAATCTGTGTATGTATTGTTGTCATCAAAACGCTTTAAACAAATCATTTATATTTAAGTAAGCGTCATTAAATCCGCATTGAGTGCTAATTGATATATGCCCAAAATTGTTGCATTGTATCTCGAAATCCTTCCAAAGAGAATATGTGCGAAATAAAAATCTCCCAAAATTACCTGTTTGAAAGCTCAGCCGCTACAATTTCTTAAGATGTATCAGGACTTTGATTATTTTAATAAATTTATCAAATCCTTATAATATTTATCTTAGAACGAATAGTTCTTATTGAGGATAACGTAAAATATGGTTTAATAAAATCAAACGTCAATATTTTTAAACTTTTCGTTTTATATATTCAATAAACAAATTCACCAACACGATAATTTAAAATAAAAAACAAATATGCATTTTATAGGAATTAAAAGCAATTATAGTAACAAAAATATAGGTATTCTACTTTACTGTTTGTTCAACTGTACCCAGTCGATATGTCAACATTACAGGATTCGATGAAGTCGATAACACGTCCTTGTATATTAACTGACATTCCACTTAATTCTATCTATATCTATCTATATTTCATCAAAACTTAGGCCCTTAAGAAATATACGAAGCCCCGTATATCTAAATAAATCACTATTTGGATTTGCATGGCGTCACAGATAAACAAAGTAAAAAACTCTAGTTGCGGCGAACGTTACATAATTACCGCAAATGAAGTTTTGAATTATTAAGCATTAGACATTGACAGTGAACCTTCATAACCAAGCCTTGACTTTTATACTCGACTAATGCCTTCACGCCTTGTTGATCACGTGCGTATTTAATAGTATATAATGAACGAACGTTTAAAAATAACTAAAGAAAATTATAACAAACAAAGAAAATAATCAAAGTCGATACGTACATTTAAAACGTCTTTCCGTGATGCAGCATTTTGATAACCGTGTGAGTAAAAACGTTTTTTACGAAACTATTACTGTCGCACGTTCGGAATCTTGTCGAAAGTTTTAAATTCACATGCCGCTCTTCACTGGCCGTTCTCCATTAAAATATAAATAAAAACGAACATCGAGGGCTTTAAAAATAGAACACGGGGAACACGCAAACCCGACGACGGTTTATAAACAAATGGCCAGTGATGCCAGTGACTAGTGACTACTGAATACTCACTGGTAACGAGTCTGAGTGGCGATTTGGCGCCCAGCGCGCTTCCTACATCCGCACGTCGACCATGGCCTTGTGGCCGAGCGTGAGTAGCGCTTCTTTTATACAGCGTGTCGTTACCACCGCGACAATAAATGAACACACATATAAAGGATAACTTTTTAAAATTGTTTAAAAATTTTTTTTGTTATTAAATTTTCCAAAACGAA